AAAGATATCTAAAGGAAACTGCATCGATTGTTGTTCCATGTCTTGTGGTAGGCTCATTTCGATTGTTATTTATTTGTAGTTCTGATTTATTTTGTAGAAAGTTTACCACGAATTGTCCATCTTCGGACGCGAAATTAACATTGAAATCTCCTGCTAAAATTATTATCAACGTATGATAGTTTTCTCCTAATTCTTCAGAGCCTACTCGACCGAAAATGTGTGCTCGCATCCCTCTCTCCCTTGCCCCTATAGTAATACACGAAAGTTAACTGTCTCTCTTTTTGTCTTCACTAACTTATACCTCATTCTCAACTTCCGTTCGCCTCACCCGATCACACTCTTCGTAACGCTCTCGTCACGCATTCACCAGATTACTCCCCAAGTAAAGAAGTTTTACTTTAATAAATCCTGGATTGAATACCTGTTTTCGTCACACTGAGGTGGTGGTGTAACACTTGGTTTCACATAAACTTCCTCAGATTTTCCTCTAGCTCGGTGCCCAGGCAACATTCTTCCTTCAGTACATTCTTCAGCTTCGTGACATGAATATGCGTTGTCGATACACTGACATTCTTTGCAGTCATCTTCTGCGAATAGTTCTCCTGGCTGAAATGAATATTCAGTGTTATCAATTGAAAAAAGCAGTCATAGGAAATTTGAAAACTGTAAAGCGAAATAACTTCTATTCATTTCATGAGTAAGTGAAGTCTTCAATAAAAAAATATATGGAAATTTGCAAACATGAAATGGAATAAAGTCAAACAAATGAGTTCTAAAATAACCCTTAGGTAGAATAATATTAACTTACATGATAGCGAATTGATTGCAGATAAATTTGGATATTTTTTCACAACTTCAGTTATTGATTCAGTACACACGAAGTAAAAAACATCATTCTAGGATTGAAAAACAAAATTTCTATAGGTCTAGATGGGATCTCATTTCAACTCCTCAAAAATTGCGTGAACGAAATAACTCCTTATCTAATTGCTATTATTAATGATTCCATTCTATTAAACATTATTTCAACAAAATTAAAGGTAATAACAGTTTCCGTATTCAAGACAGGAGATAAGAAACTCATATAGAGAACTATAGGACATTATCATACATAATTCCTCCACACACCCTTACCAGCATAAAGTTGCTGCATTCAATAGTATGCTTCACAGACTATTGAATATTCCACTGAGAGTAATTTCCAGAGAGAGCTGAGTTTGATCAAACAAATTGCGGTTAACAACGGTTATAAAGTAGATATTTATAGACTCCATTCTTTCCAAAAAACTACAAAAGCAAGCCATGGACCTAGTCTACCCAAATTCAAGATGCAATAACGTCAATTATAGGACGTTGTCATATTTGGGTGAACCTGTTTTTTGAAGAAAGAATGCGTAAACGTAGCTTACAGAACGAATAATAGTCTAAGTATATTTATTAAAAACAATAAAGACAAAACTTCGGTGTCGAATAGATCAGGAATATATAAGCTGACTTGTGTCTCTTGCTCAAAACTGTATATTGGCCAAACAGGGAGAATATCATTTTCCCAAGGAATTAAAGAAAATAGAAGTAGTTTTGTAAATAGAAAGACCAATTTCATATTTGCAAACCACCTTTTAGCAGAAGGACATGAGTTCAATTATGAATACGATGTATTACATTTAAAAGAGAAGAGTTTGAAACTCAATCTTCTGGAATTTTTAGAAACCGAAAGATTCAGGAATTCGGGTAATTTACTGAATGATCAATTAGAATTGAATAACTCCCCGTTACTAAATATTTTTTCAAATGTGAAAACTGGGACATAAGCTCAGGTAATATAATTTATTACAAACTTAGATAAAAATCAGGTACTTTAAATGTAGGTACTTCAAATTGTAGAATAAGGTATATGCATTGAATATCTAGAATTAATTAATAAAGACACGCCCGAAGAAGCCATTGTATGGCAAAACACGTGTTGCGTTTTTGTAAAATCGTTTAGTGAAAATCTCACAATGAAGTGTTTTTTGAATACGTTAGAATATTTATTGTTTGGAGATAACAACTGTTCGAATACAAATGTAGTTTTTATACACCATGCTCCACAAAACATTGCTCTAGGAAATATTGAAAAATTGAAAGATTTGCAAAAAATATTCAACTGAAAACAATAAAGAAAATTAATTTTTTTAAATGAAATTCAAATTTAATGATTTCCATACGTATTTTCATGTTCAAATTGATGGTTAACTAATACATTAATTTGTAATTTTGTTGATAAACAAATACAATTTTTTTTTGGTTCGGTATAAATCGAGAAAATGAAAAAATCTGTAAGCGTTTTCATCTCAATAGTTATTGTTGTTCTGAGGAATCCTAAAAATTGCTGTGATTTACTTTCAATGTTGTTCTAGGTAGATATTGCTATACATTATCTATATGACTAAATCTGAATACAATCACACAATGAAGAAAATTGGTCATGATTCATCATACTTACTTTCAAAGGTTCGCCTTCATGATTCACACACAAGCAAGATTCTATTGAAACGCATGTATTTTCGTCTGCCCAGACCATTCCCTTAGGACACTTCTTCTTTTTCTCAGCGGAGACACATCCTTCTTCACACTTCGTTTCACCTTTACAAAATCCCTGTTCTCTGACGATAAATGAATAATGCATACACAGCTTATCACATTCTATCGCACAAGAGTCAATTTCTTTTCCAGGGGGACAATTTGGTACTGAAATAATAGTAATAAATAATAGTTTTCAACCATGCGTTGGTTGATATTTTTGAAGTTTATCGACTAAGTGGTAAACCGAGTAAAATACTAAAATTCATTAACCTGTGCTGATTTTTGTTACTTGATTTCAACCTATCTATATTCTTTTTCTGTAACAGTAATATAATTACATTTTTTCTGCAGGATATGGTATTTTACTGTATCTAATGCATGTTGCAAATCAAGCCGACTTCGAATCAGTTGACTTACAAAACGTTACTGTCTAGTACAAAAAATCAATACTTTCGAGTTGATATAATAATCTTCTCATGAAGTTTTCGAAGATTCTAATAGAAATGAAATAGGTCATAATTAGTGGTTCTTTCATGATCTTTTTTTATTGATGGGGTGAAATTCTTGTTATTTTACACTATTAGTGTTATTTTATACTCACTTTCAGCTTCGATTGGTCTGAGCTCCGATCTTCCAACTGTAATTAGAAAATTATGTTATTCTGTTGTCAATTCTTTTACGATCATATATTTTCATCAATCACCGGACAAACTCATCACATACTTAACTGATATTGAATTTGGTTCCATTGCATTCACATTCTTAGAGAAAATGGATGTATGGAATTCTACTTGGTTTCCTGGTTTTTTCTTTGAAATATGAAAGCTTCTATTGTCGCCGACTTAATGCACTGACAGCTGACGATTGAGCATTCAAAAGAAAACAAGACTCAAGTGTTCCATCGTCAGCCGAGTAAAAATATAGTTATTTGATGCATAACAGAAAAAAGGTTAAAGATGATATGTTTTCCTGTGAAATAGCGGCGTTGATGGTAAAGGTATCCAAGAAAAACGGGGACGGTCTTTGAGAACGTTGGAAAGTCACGAACAAAGAGGGTTTGGTAAGCCAAAACATCCAATTTCAATAAGTGAACCTTCATGACAGACGTATTCCAAAAACACTTTATTGTGAGATTTTCACTAAATTGTATGTTTTACTGGTATGTTTTACTGGTACAGATAGGCAATTAGGCAAGTTCATTGAATATGCCAACTCCATCCACCCGTCAATAAAATTCACCACTGAGAGGGAGGTTATATATTTAGTATTGAATGTGTAGAATTAGTTGAAAGACACGCCAGATGAAGCCATTGTATGGCGAAACACGTGTTGCGTTTTTGTAAAACAATTTAGTGAAAATCTCACAATAAAGTGTTTTTGGAATACGTTAGTTATGGATTTTCATCAAGTATCGGCCGATTCCATCATATATCTTCATGACAGACTCTCCGTGTGGCATGTAGATTTTGATATCATGGATAGAAAAGCAACTAGTCCATGACTATTCGAAATATTTTTTTTGCCTTTTCTCAATATAGGCTGAACTCAAGTAATCTCTCAACAAGAAGAAAAACACTCTTTTGTCTAAGAAAACTGAAGAGCGTATGACACAATGGCGCATGATGACAGAAACAAAAGCATTGTTGATGTTGACCTACTTCGGTATTCATCTGACAATTAGCTGTCAAAAAATAAAAACTGGCATTTGAACGAAACATGAAGAGGTGCCTTTCCATTTGTTGCATTGGCTACAGCTGAGGTCACCGTTATAGAGTTTTTTTATCCAGGTGTCCTATGAAGGTAACGTCCAGTGAAGAGCTCTGTAATTATTTTAGCTGATCCCTAATCAATTGTAGCAATTCTTCAGTTGTTTTCTCAGGCGAACCCTTTATATAAAGGTTTTCTCGGTTGTTTCCAGGTACATTTTCTCAGTACTCTCCATGTTTATTATCGACTCATTTCTTGATGTGGTCCCCAGTCATGAATTTTGGTACCCTCCAACTAGCTTAGAACCCATAAATAGGCTTTTTGTTTACTTAGATTCCTGAGAGTCTGACACCCACACGAGACTCACATATTATTTTGTTAAATTTTCGTTTTTCACTGTCGGACCTAGGTAATAAGTGATGACGAAAGACAAACTAGTATTTCTTACGGTTATTATTTGGGTCGTCGTAGGTAGCGGTGAAGTTGATATTTCTTCTTCCGAACAACCGACAAGTTCAACTCTAAGAGAAATTCCATGGTTCCACGTTTCCGGATGGATACGAATTACTTGTGCCTCAATAGGAGTTTCGAAAAGTTGCCGAACTGGTGTTGATCCATCAACTGAGCCATGGAAGATCTGAAGCAAAAATTATAGATTGAATTCGTACAATAGAAGTCAAATGGAATGAATACATTGCATTGTATACTTCACTACGTGAAATTTCGTGATACATCATTTGAACGGTCTCTGCATCATTTAAAAGGTATCTTCATTATGCCAAAGGTCTATTCATAATTTTAAAGGTTTCTTAAAAGGTATTTTCATCATTCAAAATGTCTCTGCGTCATTTGAACAATCTCTTCATTATCTTTTAAGGTCTCCCCCATCATCTTTTGTTTGTTTTCAAATTCAATACATCAAAGATCCTACGATCATACCCACCTATTGAGGATATGTGAGAAATTCAGTACACAAATTAAACCACTAGATTTAACTGACTGGAGATAGATTGCGATTAGAGTGGTCACGCCACGGAAAATTATCAAAAAAAATTTTGAATTTTAGATTAATAAAATTTCTTGAGAAAAATTTCACTTAGTAGTCAGTATGGGTTTCAAAAAAATGGGAATAGAGTGTCATAAATTATGGAATTTTAGTAAAAAAAATATTTAACTTCAGTATTGAGAAAACAGTTTCTGATAGTTCCAAAATTATTCAAAGAACAGATATTAGTTTGTTAAAATTGAGGGTACTAAACGCTCTAGACAATGTACTATTTTAGGCTTGTCGAAAAGATCTACCTTAGGCCCACACTTTTTTTTGTTATATAAATTCAGTACCAAATTTGAAACCGGGGAGAGACATCAAACTTTACTCTAATGATAATTTATTATAGTTTGGTAAACATTTTTTTTCTGCCAAGTTTCTAAAGCGACATGATGAATATAATCAATGAGATTGTGTCAAATATACCATGGAGAGACCTTTTGATTGAAGAGAAAAATTTATTTCAATATCCATACTGTATAATTCTCGAAATAGAATTCACAATTACTTACCAGTGGTTGGTTTTCGTCGTTCAAAATGTGATAGAAATGGTGACCATCGTCGCTGTACGTTACTTTATACGATGTAACATATTCATCGTATAAGGGACTTCCTTTCACAATTACTCCATATACTGGTTCTTGTTTTCCCAAATTAATTTCCAAAAACTGATGGTGATCAGATTCTACTGGTGCCCAGCTACCTCCTGTTGATAAATAGAAAATTTGTGTAATCACTGAAGAGATACACAACTCCTAACATTATAGAAATAATAAGTGATTTTACTGAATGAATATAGTATAGCGAGTCTTGCAACAATAACCACAAAATAATATTTATGGCTGGTACATGTACATCACATATGGATAATTATATAATAACAATCAAACAGAAAAGTGTTATATGGGGATTAGAATGTCAATTAGAGAAAGAAAACAGAAACTTTTTCAGTGTGGTACCTTTAACTGGAATAAATTCAGTAGAATTGTAGCAGAATGTTTCTTGCAAAATTCCTGAGACAGGTCGATTTTGTTTTCATGCATCCCTTACATAGGGTACCTACCCCCTAATTTTTTTTAAATAGCAATAAGGGTTGATTTGTATTAAATTTTAAAGACATATTATTCCTCTAAACAGCAGTGTTCGATTTTTAAAATTTCGTCGATTAGTTTCCGAGATACTATCAATTTAATAATTTGCATAAAAAATTAGCATTTTTCAAATTATCCTCATGTCTTATGAAAAATGCGCAGCTTTGAAGAAAATGTTTATGTTTACCTACCAGAAGTGTCAGTTACTACACTGTTCAGCAGTGCATATTCTGGTGAAAATATTTTACTCCGGCTACTGGAGGCGTTGAAAACAACATTTGGTAGTAAAGGTGTAAGATCTACCAACCTGAAAATTGAAAAAAAATTAATCATATTTCTCAGTGAAAGCATTTCATTGGTTTAATCCACGTATATATTGTTGATATGCTTGTAAATGATTTTAATTGTATCTCATTGTGGATATTTATTTGATTTTGATATATTCGCCATTATTAATCAAATAATCTCTGTATAACTATCCATGTATGATAACAATAAATTCAATACATGTTGGATATTATAATAACAATAAATAAGAAATAACTAACTAAATGCACATATACAGGGTGTCCCTGGACTTCCTCTTTTCCTTTCGGGAATGTATAGATGGGGTCAAAATATTACTGTGGTTGATTGTAAGACCGAGACAATAGGGTTATGGTATGAGAAAACTGCATCGATTGTTGCTCTATGTCTTGTGATTGGCTCATTTCGGTTATTATTGATTTGTAGTTTTAATTCGTCTTGTAAGAAGTTTACCAAGAGTTGTCCATCTTTGGACTGCTAAAATTAGTGGCAACTTATGATAGTTTTCTTCTAATTCTTCAGAGCCCGATAACACTTTTCGTAACGCTCTAGTCACGCATTCACCAGCTCACTCCCCAAGTCAAGCGCGAATAAAGAAGTATTACTTCATAAATAATCATCACAGTGACTTCGCTGCGGATTATCGAATATTTTGATACTTACATTTTTTTTTGATTGATATAACTTCTCGTGGCCAATCGCATACTCTTGTCACGGGATTGTACATCATATCTTCCCCGCATGTTTTCTCCACATATTCGTTACCGTTTGGACCAGGGGCACATTCATAAAATTTATAGCAATCCGTTGGATGTTCCTTACTAGGGGTGTCAATTACACATTCTGCTTTTTCGGTGATAAATTCAGTTGTGTATTCTATCGTGGTGGTTTGTTCTTCTACAAGTGAGAAATTAAAATCATTAATGGAGGTGACATTGAAACGTCACTGACCAGTATGAACAGAAGTTACCTTTCAGTACCTTCTTATTTATGCTCAGTTTGCCAATATCTGTACAAAACTCAAGCTAAAATTGAAATAGTTACCCGTTTTTTTGGTAAAGGTCAAAATTTATGTTTTTGAAGCCAGTAACAGAAAAAGGAATTCTAGATAGAAATTATGAAGAAGCTCGGATAATCATGAGATCTCTGAAGTAGACCACATTACCATAAGAATAAGAAAAAAAATTGATAGCATTGTACCCCACAAAGTTATATGTGTGTTTTGAAAGGTTTCTAAATAGTTCTGAAAAACCAATTCACTGAATATATACTTGAATAAAATAATAATAAAAAACTTTTCAAACAAGCTTTCATTTAGGTACCCTAAAAAAACAAAATAAAATTTCAATACACATTAACCACATTCATTTATGACTTTACATAATTGAAATTATAAAAAAAGCTTGTCGCGATGCCTAGAAGAAGTCTCTACAGATTCAGTCAGATGAAATTTTAATTAAGAAACATTATGATAGATCAACTAGGCACTGCCATAAATTTCAAACCCGATAAATCCTATATGTGCAAAAAAGTTATTCAAGGTTAAAGTTCCACATTTTAAGCTTTCACGACACTTTTATGTGTAGAGATTTCTTCTAGGCATCGCGACAAGCTTTTATTATAATTTCAATTCTGTAAAGTCATAAATGAATGTGGTTAATGTGATTTAAAATTATATTTTGATCTTTTTAGGGCACTTGAATGAAAGCTTGTTTTAAACGTTTTTTATCATTATTTTATTTAAGTTTTTTTAGTTTCAATCGATAGTTATCGATCAATACAAAAGTCCATCTATAAAACGGAGAGTCCTTCAACAGAAAAACTTAAGGAACGGGGAAAACTATTATTAGAATAAACTATATTCTATAGAAGTAGGTAGGTACCTACTCATTCGGCATACCTTATAGAATCCACCCAGAGCTTCGTTTAGTAGGATAAGAGCTAATATACAACAGGGTGCTTTCCGGTGCCTTGAGGTGGTACGTTCACGACATCATTTTACACCCTGATACCACTTAGTCCTCGTCACGGCCTCTCCTTGACTTTGGTGGTAATTTGGTGAAAGATGCGCCACTTTTTTCAGCTTAGAGCTTACTCGTGCCTGACGAAACACCGTTTCGGGTTTGATTTTGGAGTTTTCCTTCTCCTAGACGGGTTGCAGACCAATGCTAATGACACCCATCTCACCAAATTACATAAGTCATGGTATGCCTCTTGTGTCTGTTGCTCACATTGCGTGATGGACCCTCTTACTTTGGGAACTTAGAGGGTGGTAGATGATAATATTTTTTTCCAATGCAAATAAATATGGGTTCTTACAACCTACTACACCATTTATTGTCTTCTTTTTAGAGTCGGGAAGTAGGTATTTAAAGGTAAAAGCTTGATTAAATTATTTTTTTTTTAGAAATACTTTTTTTTAAGCCAACCCTGGATGTGGCATCTATTTCATGGTGGGCCTACCAACTGCCTATCATAAACGAATGCGTATACAAAATTTCGTGTCCCTGCTATTTACCGCTGAGGAGATCTCTCGTACGGAGCCGATCCTGGCAGCAGCATCAGGTAACGTTTATGATTAACATGCATTGTCATCGGTTTTTGAACAACATTCAAAATTTCAGGTCAATCGGATACCGGGAATTGGGTCAAATTAAACTTGCAAGATTTGTTAACATTCATACAAGTCAAGTTAAATAAAAGCTTTTAAAAAGGAGTATTTTTGAAAAAAGTACTAAATTGTGACGAATCAAAATATGTTGGTCTATCTCCAAATTTTTTTTCAATTCTCTGAAGAAGAAAGTAATACAAATTATCAAATAATAAAACAGAAAAATTAATTGGCTCTCCGGGGCGACTTCATTGATTCCAGTGGCGCATTTGCTTTTGAATCTGCAGGAAAACCCGGAAAAACCAGCAGCACCACATCATCTTAAGGTCTTGATTTGCCAATGTCCTCTCTTTCGTAAAACAAAATGTAGGGTGTCTCCAAAGGTTCCAATAAATTCAAGACGTCGCCAGAACACTTAGTGACACGACTATCGCCAAACTTAAACCAGTCTGTTTCGTCTTTGACCAATGCGTAATAATGGCCAGATTCAACGCCAGAACCACAGTGAACAACAACTGCATGAAGATTATAATAGTGGTCAGCTAGATTGAAGTGTTCTTCTATTTCGAACCTTCGTATGAGTTTGATGCTTCCGTCAGAGGTTGAGTCATGTTTGAAGATCATCAGTGTTATTATGAGGTTGACTGGTGCTTCAGCTATACTTGCTATAATAGTCAGTCAGTAAGGCGCATGTTTGGCAATACAGTTGATCATCACCCGTTAAAGTTCCAGAAAATCACATACGTTTTTGCTACCTCTTGAACATTTACTACAAAGTGAACAAGTGAGGGTTTTTCCAGCGAAAGATCTACAAACACAAGACAAGATAGATTGTACGGAATAATCATTCAATCCAGAGCGGTCAGGAGTATTGATTCTGCCATTTTTTTGCTCACGAAGAGTATTCAACATGAACCCCAAGAATTCGGAGCAATCCTCTTGTTGTCCTAATGAGTATCTAGACCTAGAGTATCAAAGACTCCAGGAAATCGCCTAGTGGGAGAGATGGTACATTCTTACGAAACTGCAACTACATGAATAATTGTTTGAGTTGGTCTTTTGCTCAGAATATTGTGGCATCAAAGGAAAAGCAAGACAGATATTATTCCAAAATAAGCATAAGCTTAATTATTGTACTTCAAATACTCAAACCAAAACATAATTTGAAAGCTATTGAGTATTTGTTCAAATTTTATATGACACATATCATATGTTCAAGTATCGGTTCTAAATTTCTTCAAAAAATAAATTAAGACCCTCAAAAACTCGAACTAAACATCATCTAAAGAATATTCGTATACAAAACAAAGATTCTGAACACAACCTTATAATGGATAAGGTTTTCGCGGCCGATGGTTTTAGTGTTACTACTTTTCGGGTTTGAAGGCCATCGATTTTTGAAATTTTTTCTTGACGTTTCGCTGACGCGAGTGGCTAGTTTCTTCAGAGGTTTATACACCCAGAGTTCATGTTCGATGACTGTATATTACGGCTGCGTACTCTGGTGTGATAATACATGTACCTGGATTAGGTGAATTGTCAATAACATGCTCTTTGCTATTCTTGAATTTCTTAGAATGGTATCCCATATCAGTCAGCTATGGTATCCCTGGTTGTGGGCAATGAGTTCCGTGTTTTCAAACAGAAACCTGTGCTTTCCCTCACTGACTGCGTGTTCTGCTACAGCCGAATTGTTCGTTGGCCCTATTCTACAGTTTCTTTCATGCTCCTTGTTCCCATGGATCTTTTGGTGGTGTCAATATACTCGTTTACCTTCCCACAAGTGCACGGTATGCAATACTATCCAGCTACTGATAGTGGGTCTCTTTTGTCTTCAGCCGATCTGGGGCTTTGTTATATCTCTCTGTTGGGTTTCAATGTTGTGTTTCCCAAGAGTTTTCCAATTATGTCTGTGACCCTAGCGATATATGGTAGATACGCACGTGTAATCATCTAAGCCTGCTGCCAGTGAACCGTGGAACTCTTCAGATTCATGGCCATGTTGATCTCAGGTAAACTGTATCCATTCGATCTCAAGGTCACTTGAATATGTTTCAGTTCTTCTTCCAGATGCTCTAGTTCATATATTATTCGAGCCCGTTCAGTTAGAGTAGATGTGACTCCTCTCTTCTGCATACGATGGTGATATGATAGTACGTGCAGGTACCTATGTGGGTTTTAGGTACACTTTGTGGGTTAGTTTATCACCATATCGTTCGATGAGAACATCTAGGAATGCTTCATGGTGGACTTGATGCTGGGATGTTGAGCGTTCAAGTGGTCTAGCAAAAGTTTTAGAGCGACCCTTCCATGTTTCCAGATAACGAAAGTGTCATCCACGTAACGTAGCCACAAGGTCGGTTTTAATTTGAAGGTGTCGATTGCTTTCTCTTCGAAACATTCCATGAAGTAGTTCGCTATCACTGGGCTGGCCACGCCATTTAGTTGCTCATAGAAGTTTTTCCTCCATTGAAAGAAACTTCCCGTGACACATGCTCTGAAGAGTCCGGCGACAAGTCGGAAACAAATAGGCTAGCCTCCTTAGATAGTATTCCAGTGGGACATTGGTAAAAAAAGACACAACATCGAAGCTCTTACGTTAATGATTTGACAGCCTTGGTTGGTAAAATTAGAAACATAACTCTGGAGCTGGTCAGACTACCTGAGTCAATATAAATACTCTTTACATCATTTACCCAATCCAGATATAGGTATTAGCACACCAAACTATCTGAGTCAACATAAATACGCTTTGAGCAGACGCAATCCAGTCATCTGAGATAAACTCAGGATGTATAAACCTCTGTAGAAGTTAGCTATTCGCGCCAGCAAAACGTCAGGAAGGAAGTTTCAAAATCGACGGCCTTCAAACGTGAAAAAAATGACACTGAACAACCTAATAAACTAAATCACTTACCGCATTGACACAAAACGCGAATTTCAAAATCTGGACATAGCTTCTGATCATCTGATGACTGACAAATCAAACCTCTTTCCAAGGAACATTCAACGTCTAGACCTGTTTCTTTTGGAAGCGTGTGTGTGTCTACAGTACGACATTCAATATCTATCATACTGCTAATATTGCACCTACTGGATCCTTGAATATTACTCTGAAAAACATATTATATCAGATCATAGAGTGGACTAAGGAATATTATACTTATATAACACATTTTGATCATTTGGGCTAGCTCTATGTGATATCAAATGTAATAACATTTGAACTCTCTACTATTTAATTATCTGAACAGTCATAAAAATTTTGATAGTATTATAATGAAGATGGTTTTTGATTCAATCTTTTCCGAAATTCATTCTTACGACGGGACGAGAATTTATAATGTCAAAGGTTTTCATATATTGATAGCATGTGATTTATCATACTTGGGATCATTCTCACAAAATAAATAAAGAAGACGGTTAGGTTAGTTTAGGTCTAAATAAACCCAGCTTCTCAACGAAGCCGATTAGTTTGTATGGTTAGTGGTCTTTCAGGTCAGATGGTAAGAGTACGGCTCTGCCGAACTCTAAAAACCTGATTCGGTCCCCAGCGGGGCAGAAACAAAGTATGTGCTTTGCTGTTTCATCATTTTCTAAACAGAGGCGACACACACTGTCTTCCGACAGTCCGAGTCTCTGCACATGATGATTCAAATGAGAGTGACATGTAAGCAGGCCTGTTAGACATCGTAGTTCATCCCTACCGCAGTCTAACAAATGTTTGGTATCACGCTTCTAATGGTGAAAAAACGCCTTGGAGTGAGCCAATCCTGAAAGATTCTGTCAGAAGTCCATAAATCTTCTTGCCATCCAGGTGTTCCATCTTTGTTTGGAAAAGCCTATAGAAATGCCAATGTCAGGTTCTGGTCCGATGAAGCTACTTGCAGCACCCTCCTTTGCAAAGAAATCAGCAGCCTATTGCCTTCCAGGCTAGTATGACCAGAGAAAATCTGTTGAGTCTTCCTATTGAGAAGAGTCGTTTTTGGCAATTTGCTACCAATTTAGACTTGTGTATGAGGTTGGAATCTTCCAATCTCTCCGCACACAATGCAATATCATACATTTCTGCTTTAAATACAGTCGCATAGGTTCCTAGACAGGTTGATATCTCTGTCCTGGGTCTGCGACTGAAAACACCTGCACCAGAACCGGAAGGTGTTTTTGATCCATTTGTGAACCAACAACTATCTACTCTCAATATTTCCTTCTCCTGGAGGATCCAGTCCTCTCTACTCAGGAACAGTACTTTATAAGGCAGTTCTTAGTTGACAGTTGGAGGCATTAAGTCAGAGGTCATTTCCAGAATGCTATGACTTCCAGTGTCAACCAACAGTCTATTGAACTCTACATTGAATTGATTTGTGCTATTGGCAATGTGCACAATTCTGTATGCAGTCCATTTAGCCTTTCTCTTCAGAAAAATGTGGAGAGGGGGTAGATCTAGAAGGATCACTCTGGCCGTTGACCGTGTGGTACTGATGGCACCAATGATGGCTAGACAAGCCTGTCTCTGTAAGCCAGATAGCCACCAGGCGATTGCAATAAATGATCATTGGTTTGATAATCATCAAATAAATCCAATGGATTTGTTTGGGACCTAAACCCCAATCCTTCGACATGTCCATAGGGACAGTCTGGCTTTGTATAAAACTTTATCAAATGCAGAAACATTTCAATTCTCTACTACTTCATTATGTGAACAGTCATAAAAAAATATTGATATTATTGTAATGAAGATGGTTTTTTATTCAATCTTTTCCGAAATTCATTCTTAGGACGGGACGAGAATTTATAATATCAAAAGTTTTCATATTTTGATAGCATGTGATTTATCATACTTGCTACTATTCTCACAGTATAGATAGTTTCAATGCAGTTGTTGTAAGCACTGAGTATATAACTTGAATACTCACCAAATAAGTAACAGACGGTAGTGGCTCCACTTCTTTTCTGTTAGTTCTCTTCTTACTTTTTATCGAAGCTCCCTTTTCTCTATTGATCCATTTCGACCATCCAGACGTACAGGGCACGACCTGTTCCATTTGATGAGTTGTGTACTCCGGTATTTCAGTGGTAGTACACGGTTGAGCATTACAAATTTTCTTTTGTCTCGAACAATAGCAACTGTGACAATCGTCCTCCTCTATCAGATCGCCTTCATAATAAGTGACATTGTTTATTTCCATGCAGACAGGCTTGCACACATTCCTTGGAATGCATTCCAGCATAGAAGAGTTGGTGTAAATGTAGCCACTAGGACATGGTTTCGGGGCACAGCCTTCTATACAAGTGTCTGCTCCACAAGTTTTTGCTATTTTGGTGTTGATAAGTATATCCTCACAAGTTTCTTCCGGACAAGTGGATATGCATGGACTGTATTCTGCACATCTTTCATCGCATTGCATTGCTGAAAATGTATTCCAGTCCAATTAATTTAATTGTTCATGATGTAAATATCTACAGAATGGGTCATTTTTTATTTCTGAATGGAAATCAAAATGGTTGAAAATATTCACTAACGAATAAAAATTATTTGGGTAAATTTGGTTGGTGGGAGGCAGGGCCGTTTTCACGGCCCGAAATTTCCCAACTTTTCCAAGTCGAAAAAACAGCGAAAAACTGTAAAATTGTCACTTCAAAATTTGTGGACTGTTCAAGACTGTTCTCTTACTTAGGAGAAATCAACCTTTTTTAAAGTTTTCAAAGAACTCAGATATTCAAAGTATGGGATCTCCAAGTTATGCAGTTATGCAAGTTGGGAAATCCCAACCTTCTCCTTGTTCTTTTCCTTTTCTTATTACCTCTTCCTCTCTTTCCTCTCATTTTTTTTTCATTGTTATTAATTTTTTCACTATTATTTTTTTTCTATCTTCACGGCCCAAAATTTCCCAACTTTTTCCCAAGTCGACAAAGCAGGGGGGGAGGTTCCTCCCATCCCCCCATGGCGACGGCCCTGGTGGTAGGTAATTTTCATTAAAATATCAGTCACATCACACAAATAGTGTTCAAAAGTCACTAATACTAATTCTGATGTTTTATTTGGGAAACTGAGATAAACAAGTTTTGTAAGTTGTCATCCGTTAACCTCGTTCTATAGTTTTATTTCATGAAATTCATTCTTGAAAATTTTTGTTCGCGTAAATAGGTGCTTGAAAAAATACAAGTCATTGGTTTTTCAAAATTTCTTAGGTTGAAAATGTATTTTCTGGTAGATTTGAATAAAATGCAATTGAATCATTTGAATCAAACTTATTTTTATATAGATTGTTAGATTGTAAATCAATTAACACGAGTTGTAAATTGTCTGGTGCTTTCACAATATGAAATAAGGATTTTCAAATATTGATATGTCCATTCCTTTTACATAAAAATCTTCAAACCGATGACAAAAATTTCCATCCAGTACTTTTAGTGACTTTGTGGAAACTTTTGATTTCTTTAAATAGCTCGTTGATTAACTTTCCTCAACCTTGTAGTGTTGTATTTAATTTATTTAGGTAAGTTGTGATGTGCACAATAAAAACTAACTCGCTCCTCCATTCAAAATTCGATAATTCTGGTATATTAGTTCCTTTTTCTGTCAAAAACAATTCAATCCCGTGTATCAATTCAAAGAATCTTTTTAAAACTTTTCTACGGCTGAGCCATCTCACTTCTGAAAAATAAATGATATCTTCGTATTCAGCGTCAATTTCATTCAAAAATTTCCGGAATGTTCGATGGTTCATACCGTTTTTGCGAATATAATTGATGGACTTCACTTCAATATTCATACCATTTTCCAAATGAAGTTGCAGAGGAGGCTATGTAATATTTAATTCTTTCAATTGTTTATTAATCATGCCTACCAAACCAATATTGTGACCCGTCATGTTCTTTGCACCGTCAGTTGTCACATTTTTTATTTTTCGCACTTGAGATCGTACATCTAATAGTTACAGAAATATATTGTCACTTCTTGTAGTATCCAAGTTACGACATTTTGAAATATTAGGAACTCACTTAGGTATTTTTCTCCTGCACACCCTAAACCTCTATGCTCAATTTTGATTAGAGATGTATTACAGTTGTTATTTTTCAAGGAAATGAAGTTATTTGGGATTTTTCTAATACGAGGATGCTCTGAAAAGTTTCCGACTTAACAAAGATACAAGACATTTTTTCAGATTTTCACCATAGTCTCCTTTCAACTCCACACACTTCTCCCAGCGATGCTCCCAGGTCTGTAACCCGTCGAAATAGTACTCGGCGTTTTCCTCTGCAAAATAATAATTGTTCATGAAGGTGTCAAAAATCATTGTCCTCCGAGCGCAATGTTTAGATGAGGAAACAGAAAAAATTCGCTTGGGGCTAGATCTGGTGAGTAAGGTGGATGGTCAAGCCGTTCAATCCGTAATTCGTAGAATTTAGCCATGGCGACTGCTGAGGTGTGAGACGTTGTGTTGTCTTGGTGAAATAGGATTATCTTTTTCTGCCAATATGCCTGTTTTTCTGCGAGTTCTGCCTTCAGCTTGTCAAGTAATGATGCGTAGTATGCTCCTATAAACTGGGTTTCCCTTTTTGAAGACAATAATAAAAATAAATCCATGTCTATCCCAAAAAACAGTCGCCATCACCTTCCCAGACAAAACCTCAGTTTTTGCTTTTTTCGGCCGATTTCTCCTTTACAGTCCATTGTTTGGACAGTATCTACTATCTCTCACTATGATTCGGTGGTCATCTAGCAAAAGTTCGTGAACTTTGACGATGTTTTCGTCGGTAGTTGCAGTTTTTTGATGTCCCGAACGTTCATCGTCTCCCAAGCTCTTACGGCCACGTTCAAAATCAGATGCCCAAAATTTCACTATGGTAAATGATGGTACAGAGTTCCAATACACAGAATTCAACTCATCTTTGATTTGCGAAGGCGTATTGCTTTGCAAAAACAAACATTTAATGACAGCTAGATATTCGATTTCGTCCATTTTCATAAAAACACTCACATCAATTCTTTCAAACGACCGTTACATAACAACTGTGCGTCCAAAATGGCTGGAGGCTGGAACTTCGGTGAGTAACTGTCAACAGATGAACAACGAAATTCACTAGCTTTTATTTAGGAGTGCTGCTATTTTTATCATGAGGAAACTTTTCAAACCACCCCCGTATGTGTCTCAAATCCATGTAAAATGCTAATTCTCTATTGAAGCATTTGTACATCTCATTTTTTAATCGTTCAATAATTCTGCATAAATAGGAATTATAAACTACAAGTACCTACGTTGGTTTATTGAGGTTGAGCTGAGGCAATTGTCGTTTTACTTCGATATGTTTGAGTACAAAACTTACGACAAAGTTGTTGAGACCGCCACTTGATGGGTACTCCTCTGTTGTTACATTCCTGAGCGTAAGCCGCTAATGCTGTACAGAAACATTCACAGTCTCCTCCTTGGTCACATGCACAGCTGTCGAATATGCATTTCTCCAAGAAATACTCCACGGGCACCTCGGAGTGGCATGGTGCAAATAGTGAGGACTTCAGCAGACCGCATTGTTTCATGGCCCATACTTTTCGATCTAGGCCTCGAAATTATTCGTGCAACAATGGCCCATCGCAGATTTACCTTCTTATTGTCTTGCATGCGATTTGATGATGTATATACGAGAAGTGAAAGAAGTTGTGCCCCATTAGAACTTTTTTTGAACGCTTCGTACAAAACTGTAAGGACTGCTACACTCCAGGTTTCTTTGTGACGTTGAATGAAATGCTGTTTGCATTCCGAGGCCGCTGTGGCTTTCGCATGTACATTCCCAATTCATTTTCAATTCTTCTTTTTATTCGTTTCAGGGATTTCAAATCATTTTATATAATAGACAATGGAAGTCCGAACTAGTGAAATGTCGTAGATATACGAAAATTCACCAAGAGGTAATGAGATTTTACTGTGAAAACAAAAAAGCACTGCAAAATCGCATATTTACCAGAACAAATATTTAAAAAAAAGTCATTCTTATGATGTACTGTTTGGAACCTTTGGTGTAGTAATGAATATTACTGGAGTTTCTTTCCCAAAATCATTAAAAAACCAAGTTACTTCAACAATCATTTTTGTCTGGATAAGATTGTTGGTACCTATATTCGAAACGTGGTGAAGTAGCTTGGTATGAAATATTTTTTAGATTTTTTCCTAATTTTTTTCTTTAGCATACATCTTCATTACTTTATTTTGATTTTTCATTTCTTTTATTTCTACATCCTTCCACCCTTCACTGTTCATTTCATTGATAGATTAATTTTGATGTCAGGGCACAAAATCTGTTTTCGTTTCAAACAACCGTTCTCACATTTTCATTCTTCTTTATATTTCTTTATTCTTTTCTAATTTTTGAAATTATTTAACTGATTCATCAGAATATTACTTTCAATTATTTTGTTTATTTTCAATAGTTTCAATATATTATTCACTTCAATTCAATTGATTCAATCTAAATTTGATGTGTGATTTGAATTGCAAAAGAGATAATTTCTCACAAATAGCTAATAAGAAGCTGATAAGGTACTAATCTTCCTGTATGAGTAAAGAAAAAGGATTGCAAAATATTTAATTGTGTCTTGATACTCACTGAAATTTCCAGAGCATCTGGGCAATAAGGCTGTAGTCTCCAGGAATCCCCAAATAGATTAGCTGATACTTCGGAAACACCTCCCGAAGGTGTCTGAAAATCATCTGCTTCGTTGTCATTGTAATTTCCACATAATCCTTTGGTCTGCAATAAAAGACATTATGATTTGTTCCTTCACGATTTTTACAAGTTTACTCACCTTGTCTTTCCACTTGGGATCCACTTTAACATACACCCTTGTGCCCTTATCCCAATGAACAGTAAAGCCTAGCTCAGGCGCTTCAACAATTACAAATAAACCTTTAGTTCTTACAGTTACATGCTTATACATTTTATATCTCGGAATGAGCTTGTCTTTTGCTAATGTTATGGTATCAGTATCTTTTCCTGAAGCAACTCTAATGGTGATAGATTTGGAGCATGTTGTTCCCAGAGATCCACAGGGTACATTCTGAAAACACGTAAATATGAATTATGTTAACAATTACTCAAGTGAACTAAATGTTTATAAATCATTCAAGTGGCTTCGTTATCCAATTATACATTGTTGCAAATCGTGTCCTAAAGAAAATAACACCGGCCGCTACTGGTGGCCATAAACCAATTGTGACGTAGCTAAGAGCGCGCGAATGTACAATGTTCGCTGCCGCTCTAGATGCAGCGATAATAATTCCACCGATATCGATGGAATTCCTGCGAAATGTTCTAGTGCATTCGATAACGATATATAAACACTAGCCACGAGCATATCGACACAGTCAAGATGAAGTTGCAGTGCGGTACGCGAAGCGATCTAGTGAGGCGATAAACATTAGAATAAAAGTTGAAGTTTTAGTTGAAGTAGTTTTTTCCCCACACCAAAACATTCTTTTAACACCTCGACACGTGTTTCGATCACCAAGTGATCATCTTCAAGAAGAAGATCAAACAGTTTGATCTTCCTCTTAAAGATGATAAAAAAATTTGTAAGGATATATTCTTTAATTATTTTTCTTGCCGATTTTGATATTTTTTTCAAAAACTAAAACATGACATGACATGAATGACATTGTTGTTTCTTGTGATACAAGTGTGAATATGTTTGCTTTTGTTCAGGTTTGTGCGATTGTATAGGAAATGATCAGAACAAAAATTGAATCTCTTTTCTATGCATTAAACATTGTTTTAACAATTCTCATTCAGGTAATTATAAATCTACAAAAATTATGGGGGTTCTTGTGAAATAATACAAAATTCTAAGTATTGGTATATGGTGCAAAATCATAGGATAACAATTGTAGGAACTATTCGCAAGAATCGATCAGAAATTCCTGCAGAACTGAAAGATATCTCATCGAGGCAAGTATATTCCTCTATGTTTGCATTTCGTAGAAATACCACTTTGGTATCATATATACCAAAAAAGAAAAAATATGTCCTTATAATTTCTTCCATGCACTTCGATGACAAAATTGACGCAGCGACAGGAGACCAGTGTAAGCCAGATATGACTACCTGTTATAACATAACTAAATGTGGTGTTGATTCGGCTGACCAAAAGATGGCTGCATATAATGTAAGTAGAACCACTTGCAGGTGGCCGATGGTTATCTTCTATAATATTCTCAACATCGCAGGAGTAAATGCTTTTGTAATAAGTCAAAGCAATGCCCCTCCCCCGGATAACATCTACAAACACCAGAGGTTATTTCTGAAAAAACTTGCTTACGACTTAGTTATGGAAAATCTAACTAATCGAGCAATTAATCCACATATTAGAAAAGATATCAGGAGTTTGGCGCTGAAGTTCTCTGGTACGACCACTCTGCCTCCGTGAGCAAGGCGCGAAAATGAACATGGACATTGTGCTTATTGCAGAAATCGAAAAATGAGATATTTGTAATTGAAAATGTGGCATAAATAGGGCAGAATATCAGGACAACAGTAAAACAACATTTTGATGCTAATTTGGTCAACACCCACAGCATTGGACTTAACTGACAGCAAATGTCTATAAATGTGATTCATCAACGTTCGAAAAGTTGAACTGGTTAACATTTAGTTGAAGTACTGGTTTTCAAGAATTGCATAATTTGCTCATCAGGAAGGTTTTCAGTTTCTTGATTTACAAAGAAGTTATTTATTTCATCTGGGTTGCGTTAGTGATTTGGTATAACATTTGACACTTATGTTAGTTAGATGCACAGACACTTATGTGAGTTAAACACCTGTTTAGTGAAAATATCACAATTATGTATTTTCTGGATAATTTTTAGAACAGAGTACATGATGCAAGTCAGTGTTTTCGTTGAATAAACTTTAACTTTCCAAATATTTTTACATATCACACACCCTATCATAATTTTTTTTAATAACTTCGAACTTCATTTTCATACCTGAATGGTAATATCAAATTTCTCGGATCCAAAATTGCCTTTCGCCAGAACATAATCACATTGTCCTTGATAATCGTAACGCTTTCCATCGAATGTTTTGTAATGTGATTCGCCCCACGTGCTACATTCTGCTGTACATAGTCGATCAGTGCATTTCCATTTTCCGTTTTGGCATAAACTGTAATGAAAAAAATTATAAAAAGTTAACGACATCTACTGAACATTAATACCAGAAATTTGAATAAATGGCAGTTTTCGGGGAAGGTCACTGTATGACAATAATGTATTATATATTTTCACTTTTTTGTGTATCTGAGCTTGTTTCATTCTGACTCAATAATGTACCTTTCATTAAAAGGAGACTATTCTTGGAAATGTTTTTTATGCATGTTTGTCTTTCCAAAAATTTTACATACAATGAACGTTCGACTAGAATTCATGAACAGACGGCTCATAACTCATCCCAAAATTTACAGGATTGATATTTTCAAGAAATCAAATGACCGTTGAGTGTTCAATATCACTGTTTAGTGTCCTAAAATTTAGTGGCTTGTACCGATCTCAACAATTTCGCACAGTTTTCAGTCATTCTATGGCCGGTCTCCAACGCGTGTAAATAACTCTGGATTTTTCGGGTCTTCGAAATCGGATATGTGCTGCTTGTTTTTTGAATATAGTTTCAATGGCTCGCTTAGTCTGGCTGCTATATTTTTGTCACGCGTACTATAATGTAGAGAACTTCACAACCTATGTGTACGTTAGTCCCCCGGCAATTCATCAGTGGAGTATTTTCATTTACATGTTGCAATTTCATTAAAATTTGAATTTTTCACGTTGGAATATTTCATTCTGTGTATTTTTATTATCAACCCTCCTGTACTCGGGTAGTGTCTGTGAGACCATTCAGTTCTAATTTTCATTGCTAAATCTACAGTTGGTCTTCTATCGCGCCAAACGTTCGTGTAGCTTCGGGATTTTTAGACATCGGCACGTGGCTTAAATGGTTAGTTTCAGTCAGATCATGACAGACTTCTATTGTCGAAAATTGTCTCATAGACACTACTCGAGTATTGGCGTAACCAAATTCTCTGATGAGAGATTTGTGATTTTTGTTGTTTTTATTCCAGTTGGTGTTATTAAAAAACATGGATCCGTATTTGGAAGAACTTCAAAGACTGCAAACATTATATGATGATGATGAGGTTCAACATGAGGATGGCCAGCCAGAATCAGATGTGGACCGTTGTGAATAGAATCATCACGATTCCAGATCTGAGGAAAGTGCAGACGAAGAGCTTGAATATGAAATAGTGAATAAACAATCTACAAGAGGAGGTAACACAAGTTTATTTTATGAATGTACACGTAAAAAAGAAAATCATATAGAAGTAATAAAATGGACTAAACACGCACCTATGACTAATGTTAGAAATAGACGTCAGAATCTTGTGACACATTTACCAGGCACAAAGGGAAGAGCGAAGAATGTAACAAATCCATTAGAATGTTGTTCTGCTTTCTTTACTATCGATTTGCTTGAATATTATCGTCGAATTACAAACATATATATAGCAACAGTTGCACCACCAAAGTACAAAGACCCACTGGATGTGCTACACAAAGACCCACTGGATGTGCTAACTATAAATATTGTAGAACTGAAGGCTATCATTGGGATTCCCTACTTGATGGGGATTTATAAAATGGGAGAAAAAATACCAAAGACTTTTGGGCTGAAGATGGCTGAGGCCTCGAAATTATTCGTGCAACAATGGCCCATCGCAGATTTACCTTCTTATTGTCTTGCATGCGATTTGATGATGTATATACGAGAAGTAAAAGAAGTTGTGCCCCATTAGAACTTTTTTTGAACGCTTCGTACAAAACTGTAAGGACTGCTACACTCCAGGTTTCTTTGTGACGTTGAATGAAATGCTTTTTGCATTCCGAGGCCGCTGTGGCTTTCGCATGTACATTCCCAAGAAACCAGCCCGTTATGGCATGAAAGTGACTGATGCGAGATCTTGTTATATCGTCAATTTAGAAGTTTATGTTGGACTTCAACCCAATGGTCCATACAATATTTCAAATAAAACATAGGAAATTGTGAAACGAATGTGTGCTCCTATATATGATTCGTTCTGCCTTCGTGAGCATGGCGCGAAAATGAACATGGACATTGTGCTTATGGCAGAAATCGAAAAATGAGATATTTTTGAATTGAAGGGGTTATATTTTTTCTTATAGTTTAATTTTGTCAAGTTATGTAGCAAGTAGAAAAAACAGGTGTTATTTTTTTCTTTGGATTAGATACACCTTTGATTCTGTTAATCAATATATCAGTAAACAATTCCGAATGAAAAGTTTTTTTAAACTTTATTCATCTCATTATGTTTTTTTAACTGAAAAACGTGTCTGACAGACACCACCCGAGTGTGTACGTTACTTTGCTTCATCCGCGTGCAGGAGGGTTAACACCGTTCCAATTGTGAACTAAAGCCCAAACACAATGCATTTTTTATTCAATATCAATGTTGAATCAGTTAAATTCTGTTCAGGGTCTGGTTTTTCTTCCTTAAGGCGCTCCAAGAGCGGTGCCTGTGCGAAAGTAGCGATTCACGCTGGATTTGAATCGTTGGAGATTCAATTCATTTGGAAAAACGTTCTCAGGAAGTTTATTCCACATGAACGCAGTTCTTCAAATGAAAGAGTTCTTAAATAGCGGAGTTCGAAGTGTATTGAGTTGAACCTCAAAATGATGAGCAGCCACAATCCGTCGCGTATTTCAGATATGTACCACTCTTGGTGGAATCAAATGTTCCAAGTCACTTGAACACCTCCAATGAAAGTATCTATAGAAGAGTGGACTGAATCTAGCAGCTTCGGGGTATGCTTAGGAGCGGAGCTCCATTAATGAGAACAATACTCTGATGCGAGTTATATAAAGCATCAAAAGTTGCTGAGGTGTGTACAGTTTTTTGGTTTGGAACAGTGTTCGAAGCTTTTGAGAGGAAGCCTTTGCAATTCCAGCGACATGATTGTGACAAGACATATTGGTGTCCATTTTAACCCCCAAGCAGAAAGCGGCATTGTCTGTTCTTACATTATTATATCCGGTTCGGAGACATTTGACTTTTTGGTTGAAACCGATGCCTGGTTACTTTCACCCCAATTCAAAATCACATCTAAATCCTCATCAAGATATGCAACTAGTTGCCTTACAGTAAAAGCTGTACTGAAGGACATAAGACGAATCTCATCGGCGGTCGAGGACTGAGTTCTATGTCAATCCCATAGCTGGGATCGTCTCATTTTGAAAGTTACTTTTGTTGGTACCATTGTTAGTTATTCTTGCAGTATTGTCGCATTCGATTATAAATTGATACTTTCTTGTGTTTGAGTACTCTAAGTAACAATGAGGCAATTCTAACTCAGATTTACTGTCATTTTTATTATTTTTGTTTTTATTGAAGTTTGTTTGTGAAGTTCTTAGGTACTTACCATGTATTACAATCACTTTGGACTGTGGAATTCTCTTTGTAACTCTTACCACCGTGATGACACGGACATTCTGTGGGTTTTACACACCTCTTGGACGCGGTATCCAGAACATATCCCTTTTTACATTGGCAACCTGAATGGCACACTGATGAAGTGAACAAATCAGGTGAGTGCATATTCTGAAATAAAAATATGTATACTAACAAGTACTATAAAATCAATTTGGTGACATTCAAAGATTTTCATTTTTGTGATACTTACTTTACAGGTGACAGGTTCAACTTGTTCACAAGTCGTGAATTCCATATTTGCTGAGGCGTTGCACCTGGAATTTAAATCATTTGCACTAGGGTACAGCTTCATTTCTTCAGGTGTCGCTTCTTTGCACTGCCACAATCCATTGAGACACGTACTAGAAATAAAATGAAACAACAGTAGACAATATAACGTTACATAAATTCGATGTCAAAATATGAATGGTGAATTGAAGTCATTTGGGGTTGACACAATCATAAAAACTTAAATTTCCATAAGTTGAGATTGAACATTCTAAATAAAACGATAAAATATATTCACAACTTGCCCTTTCTAGAACCAACTGAATTATATAAAATTTCACTGGACTATGGTTCATTGTCCAAAACAAAGTATTTTTATCTATTCGACGAAAATAAAATATAAATAAAAAAGTGGTAGATTGGGGTGGACATTTCTGTTCATCCCCAGCCACCGCCTTAGATTGAGGTGAGCACTTCTGTCCAGCCTCGGGATTGATTTTTGTTTTTGTTGTTCCTGTTTTTGTGTTTGTTTCATTCAAGTGTGTTCCGACGAGTAGCAAGAAAAGATTTGGTCCCGTCTGGCAGAGCTTCGCATTACTAGAGGTATAGTGGTAGGCTCATTACAATGACGTTCCGCCCAGTTCCCCAAGGGGATCGTTCGTAACGGCATATCACCCTGCGGCCATGCAGCTGTAGGCATGATTCCTTACACCTTAGCTTGGGTAGGCTGGTTCCCGGTGGCATGTTTTGCAAAGGCTTTTGAGGGGTTTCAATTCCTCTCACCCTACTTATTTCTACCACTAGCCAGGAGTCCGGCGACCTCGTCCGTAAGGCCACATTTGCTTCCCGGGCAGGGCCTCCAGTCCCTTGGCCGTTCCTCTATCTGCCACCTGAGAACGCGTCCGATAGGTAGCCCAACCCATATTGAGTGGGTTGTGAGATAATATGTAATCCGCCATTTTGTAGCTGCGGCCATTTTGAATTTGCATCTTTTTCAAAGTGTACTACTATTCTACTAGTCAAGCTCTGTTATTTGATATCCATATTTAGGTAGTTGTGAAAAAAATATGTAATCCGCCATTTTGTAGCTACGGCCATCTTGGATTTTACAATAATACAGAACTTATTAAATTGTATTATAATCAAAACTGAATGTGTGTACCAAATATCAGATCAATCTGTCAACAGGAAGGGGTCAAACTTCAATTACAAAATTTGCCAAATTTGTCAGTTAACTGAAAAATTTGGCAACTGACTATATCTATTGACTATATCTATTATCGTCAAAAATATCAAACCAGTAGAGTTGGTGAAAATTACTCCCAACGGGAAAATCAATTTATAACCTGCTCGACCAACATCTGGTTCTATTGAATATTGATGAATTTTTGTTTATTGTTATTGTTATATACTATTTGTTATCCTCTTTCATTTCCTCTATGAACACGAATGTTTCTTGAGATTACTAAATTTTTTTCTATATTTGAAAATGATATACCATAATTCCAGTCCATCGGGAGCAGGCCTAACTTCTTTATACCCAGCAGGAAAATCTAGGCCGTTGTAAACGCATTTACATCGTCCAATAGGTAGACATTCGCCATCTTCATCTAACGCCATGCCTTCCGGGCAGTTACATCCTTCGACACACTGTGGCTTACAGTCGGGATCTTCGGAAATATCGAAACAGGTTCTTGTGCAGGAATTGCCGCAAATTTGATACTTCTGCCCACCAGGACAGTGTATGCCACACTCACGAACTTCAAGTCTCCAGTTGATTTTGATGTTCTTTCGGGAACATTCCGTTGCGTAGCTCGATATTATAGGACACAGGCATTTTGATACCTGAGAACAATAGATTCATTAGGGGGAATTGAAAACTTTTGTAAGCCTTCGTAAATTTACTTATTCATAATCAAATGGTATCCCAAAATTCTCTCAATAATGACCTGATTATGTGACACCTCCAAGAAAACATTGCCTAAATTGGTTAGTGGTGAAGTCCATATGAAGTCTTGAAATTATAATGATTCTTATTTTAAATTTACTTCACATGTGAATCAGTTCACAAGCTGGCAAGCTCTACACCTTGTGTCTGAAACCTCAATATCCATCACGTGACTGTGGTCGACTAAGGTACCAAAGACACCATGCTGACAGGCCATGATGAACCCCTTAGTTTCCGACTTCAGCCCACTCAATCTGAGGAGAACGAAGGTTGGGTGCTTTGATAAGCCGAGGTCTTCAATATTGTTAAAGAAGACTCCATGTTTTATCCTTGAGTTACCGCAGGAGTGAAGTGATCTCTGCGGCTTTCATGTTGGCCTTTTGTTGAACTATTTCCAACTCGGTGACATAGTGGTGATCACCTCGTTTAGGTTCATCATCAGTTCATCAGCCACCCTGGCAGCTGCCCTGAAGAGAAATATTCCAATCCCTGATCTCTCATGGTGGCCAATCATGCAGGGAAGGGGATCCGCACTTTTGATGACTTTACAGGCTCCATCCAGTACCAGTTTCTCATGTAGACTCTCCAAACTCAAAAGTCAACGGCCTTCCTGCTGACGACGAAAGTACAACTATGGAACGGACAATTTGGGATACAAACTCCCATAAAGATGCATAATTTTTCGGGTCTTTACGTCGAATTGATACAGCTCATTCCGAATCCATTTCACTACTCTAAACGAGTATTATCATCATTACCATTATTATTAACTCAATATCGTTGCACGGCTATGCAACAGTACACGATTGGTCATTAAATAATTATCGAAACACGTTGTCGAAGCCACCATTTCAAATGCTAATTCCGAGGACAAAATATATTAATACCACGAATTTCTATTATACCTACATATGTGCCAATTCATTTTAAACGTATGCAATTTCCAATTAGATTGGCATTTGCAATGACTATCAATAAGTCCCAAGGCCAAACAATGTCCGTTTATGGCTTGATTTTGAGCACATAGTTTTTTTTCACACGGACAATTATACGTGGTATGATCTTGAGTGGGCAAAATCATCCAGTTTGTTTGTGTTAGCTGAACATGGACTAACGAAAAATATTGTACATCCTATTGCAAAGAGGCATTGATGTGTTTTGTAAGTGTTATTGTTTTTACACCCTTACAATGAGTTAGTTATTATTTTATACCCTAGAAATTCCCTATAAATAATTTATATTTCAAAACAACGTTTGATCAGCAATCAAACCCTACAGAAAAAATAGTTGATTACGAGGTGAGATCATGTAGTCTTCAATTTGAAGACCTTTTTGTACCTGCTGTGGAATATTTGAATGTTGATTCTTACTCCCTAGACACCAAATATTACTTACTGAAAATTCGCATGAGCACATATCGTAGAGACAGTCTTGGTAGAATTGATCAGGATCAACAAACCAATGGCAATCTGGAAAACAATCACAAAACTGAATTCTCATTTCTGAAATATATCAATAAATTAACATTTTATATTCCGGATTTGGAATACATACATATACATATTTGGAATACAAATGCAAGACTACCACTATTTCATTTTATACCAAATACATATATGTACAAAACAATACCAGTAATTTCATTTTATATGATTCAAAAATTAGTTTCCACGTATAGATGAATATTATTTTTATTTCCTCAGTATTCAGAAATTACCACAATATTTACCTTTAAATAAGTCAGATTTTATTTTTGCGCAGTATTTCTCAGCCGTAGCTTTTTTATGGATATTTTTGTCACAAGGGTGCGATGACAGAACTTCGGCAATATCGTTACATTTTTCACTTGTTTTCCATTTATTAGCGAAGGGAATGACAGCTTGTTCTATATCATCTTCCGGTGTCACGAAGTCGTCTTTTTGATTGTCATTAAAAGTACCACAAAGACCCTGAAATAGAAATAAAAATGTTACTTGTTTTCGAAAATTCACTACGTTGAAGTATTTTGGGATATCGAGAATTGTGGCTAGCTTGATAAAAATGTTTAGTCTCAATTTCCCAACAGATTTCTGAGGAATGAAAACTCAATTTTTTTTTAATAGTCACAATAGAAACAACATAATACATGAGAGTCTGAGCTAACTTCCAATACCAAGATCCAATTTATATGCAATGATGAAGGAAAACCAATAGCTCTAGTAGAGACAACAATGAGTTGGTTTATCGAAAGACAGGCATATCTGTTTTATTCCTTGTTGACACAATTCAAAAGGGTTACTTGAGTTCTAAATCAAAAATAAGAAGACCCTAAGAAGAAATACGAGTCACATGACCTTATCAAAAAATTATTCTAATTTCAAACCTAATTACAATTGAGGAATAGAAGCAATTATTGACGAGACATTTTAGAAGGAGATTATCATGTAACATATGCATAAATATATTGGGAAGTTATCAATAAATGAGTAAGATATTGTGTAAAATGATAATCCTCTACTTCTCTGAAAAGTTGTTGAAACTCACCCTTGTCTTCTCTTTGAATTTTGGTGGAAGGTCAATGTAAACTCTACTACTTCCATCCCACCATATTTCGATTCCATTTGGTAGTTTGGCTGTAACAGAAAGGCATGTGTGAATGATTGAGAAAATGGTAATAATAGTATTGATTACTGACCTTGTAGGAAAATGGATGACACACTCCTTATTTTTATTCCAGACACAGTATATGGTACTTTAGTTATGTCTTGACCATTCACAACAATGTCGTGGTTTTGTTTCAATTTGATGATCTGTCCATTCATTTTGATTGTAACTGTTTTGGTACAAGTTGGCATCCCAGAGGATATGCTCGTTGGGAAGTTCATGGCCTGTAAGCCAACAAATAAAAATTAATAATGATTATTATAATGAATTTCGAAAACAAACATGTGCATAAAAAACGGCCACTTTGAAATGTTTTGATCTTGAATAACTTTTTTATTTTCAGCCCGATTTTGATATTTTTAAAGAATGAAAGAAAATTCATCCCGAATCAATTCACGTTAAACAGATTTTGCAATAAGTTTCGATTTGAACATTTATACGGGAAAAAACAAAGTTATGCTTGTCATTCATCTATGTTAAAAACTCCCTATCGTGAAATACAGCTTTTGTATGACACTCGAAACCATTCAGCATGTAAGCTTGGTTTATTTTCAATACATTGATTTTTCATTCATTCAGATATCACATTCGTTTGATATTTATGAATTATTGACTGAAGCTATGTATTTTCTGTACGTATTCGTCATATAACTATTGACTCGGAGAAGCTACGCTTTAAAGTTTCAACCGTCAGCTCTCGTGAAAAGCTTACATTGATGTAAAACTCTATAACACAACCACATCCCATTTTCATTGTTAGTAGGAATAGTTCTCATGGCTTATGATTTATCTTCAATCGGTTCTGCAACATTCTCTAAATGAAAATAAAATAATATTTGCAATTCTCAATGACATTTCAAATGTGTTTTTCTCTAATACGAGATAGCTTTACTTGAAATATTTCAGAAATCATTTTTTAACTTTTTCATCGAATTTGATCGAGGAATTTCAGCTTCCATGATGTGAAAAAAATGCAAATTGTTATGGAGAAGTTAATGTATTACAATTTGATTTTTTTCCGGATTGTAGAAGGTGGAAATCCTTAAAATCAGTCTGTCAACTATGATTTTTCCCACAAAAATGACTTTTCTTCAATATTCTGAATTATTTTCAACGTTTTCAAAAAAAACTTTATTGTGAGATTTTCACTAAACAATTTTACAAAAACACAACACGTGTTTCGCCATACAATGGCTTCTTCGGGCGTATCTTTACTAACTATATTCTACATATTCAATGCTTAATATTACTAATTTTACAATTTGAAGTACCTACATTTCATTGTGTCCTCCGGGAGAAGGAAATATTAAGAGCAGATAGTTGTTGATTCACAGATGGATCAAAAACACCTTCCGGTTCTGGATCATGTGTTTGCGACTGTACTTCAAGTGAAAATTTACGCTAATTATATCGAAGGGATTGCTTTGAGAATGTTTAAAAAAACTTTTTTATTTGTACATTTGAGGCAAATGACTACTATTGAATTAATCAAATAAGAAAACAAGGTGTGTGAATAAGTTCGCATATGACGCAATGCTGAGTAAGCAAGCTGGATCGGCTATCATTTCCTCATATAAGTCGCTATTGAATCGTGTGCGAAGAGATTGGAAGAATCCAACCTCATACACAGGTCAATAAAAATATTCTCGGACAGTCAAGCGGCGTTGAAAGCTCTTGGCTCCTACCGAGCGACGTCTAAATTGGTAGCAAATTGCCAAAAACGACTCTCCCCGATAGGAAAACTTAACAGATTGCCTCTGGTCTGGATTCCTGGCCATAGTGGCATTGGCATCGCTTTAGGCTTTGCCAAACAAAAATTGAACACCTGGATGGCAAGAAGATTTATGGAGTTCTGGCAGAATCTTCCAGGATTGGCTTACCCAAGGCGTTTATTCACCCTTCGAAGCTTGATACCAAACACTTGTTGGACTACAATAGGGATGAACTACGAAGTCTATCAGGCCTTCTTACAGGTAAGTGTCATTTGAAACATGATATGCAGAGACTCGGACTGTCGGAAGACAGTGTGTATCGCCTCTGTTTGGAAAACGATGAAATAGCAGAGCACATACTTTGTGCCTGCCCCGCCGTGGACCGAATTAGGTTTAAACAGTTCGGCAGAGCCATACTCTTACCATCTGATCTGAAAGACCACTCACCTAACAAACTAATCGGCTTCGTTAAGAAGCTGGTTTTAATTGGTCGAGTGAGAATAGGTGTGAGCCACAATAAACCCTTGCGGCTTGCGATGAATGGTCGAATAGACCCACTCACTTTGGACCTAACCTAACCTTCCCTAATCTACATTTCAAGTACCTGTAATGAATTAAATTACCTGAGCTTATGTTCCAGTTTCCACATTTAAAAAAATATTCAGTAACGGAGAGTTATTCAAATCTAACTGATCATTTAGTAAATTACCCGAATTCCCGAATCTATTGATTTCTAAATATTCTAGAAGATTGAGTTTCAAACTATTCTTTTCTAAATGTAACACATCGTATTCATGATTGAACTCATGTCCTTCCGCTAAATGGTGGTTTGCAAATGTGGAATTGGTCTTTCTATATACAAAGCTACTTCTATGCTCTTTAATTCTTTGAGAAAATTTTCTCCGTTTCGCAAATATATAGTTTTGGGCAAACGCCACGAGTCAGCATATATATACTCCTGATCTATCCGACACCGAAATTTTGTCTATATTGTTTTTAATAAATTTAATTGGACTATTATTCGTTCTGTAACTGCAGATACGTAGAATCTGTTTTTTCGTTAACCAGCTGTCGCACCCCTACGAACGACAACCCTCAGAAGTCGAAACCTGTGCGGTAACGATTAACGAGGTCTTACCTTTTAACATGTGATTCCTAACACGGATTGAACGATAGCAAGTAAAAATCGATCGTTCAGACTAGGGTTTGAACTACCGACCGACACATCAGTGTTGGTCTACCTAAATTCAAGATGCGATAACGTCAGTTATAGGACATTGTCATATTTGGGTAAACCAACCAATAATATTGCCCGTTTTTTTGAAGAAATAATGCGTAAACGTAGCTCACAGAACGAATAATAGACTAAGTAAATTTATTGAAAACAATAAAGACTAAACTTCGGTGTCAGAGAGATCAGAAGTATATAAGCTGACTTGTGTATCTTGCCCAAATCTGTATATTGGCCAAATATGGAAAACATTTTCCCAAAGAATTAAAGAACAGAGAAGTAGTTTTGTAAATAGAAAGATCCATTCTACATTTGCAAACCACCTTTTAGCAGAAGGACATGAGTTCAATCATGAATATGACGTGTTCATTTTGAAGAGAAGAGTTTGAAACTCGATCTTCTAGAATGTTTAGAAATCAAGACGTTCAGGAATTCGGATAATTCACTTAATGATCAATTGGAATTGAATAACTCCCCGTTAGTAAATATTTTTTCAAGTGTGGAAACTGGGACATAAGCTCAGGTAATTTAATTCATTACAAATTTAGGTAAACATGAGATACTTGAAATGTAGGTACTTCAAATTGTGAAAATGTCACAATAAAGTGTTTTTTAATACGTTAGTTATGGATTTTCATCAAGTATCGGCCAAATCCATCATGTATATGAATTATTTTTGTATAATTCTGTCTATTTACTTGAACAGTGGTGCTCATCTGTCTGTTTGAATTGTAGCAATGATGTACTGTTATTAAAAATGTAGTCGAAGTAAATCTATCATAATTTTTCAGAAAAGTAAAATAAAATCTTACTGTGTCGGTATTTCTATGCGTTTATAATTATAATTCGGAAAAGTTTTTTCCAAGTGTGTATTAATGTATACTCACTTGTGAAATTGAACCAGCGCAAGGTGTGTTCTCAGCCTCGATTGAAAAATTATCACTCTTCACTAGGTAATACGAACAGTGTCCCATGAAGTCATATTTTCTGCCATCGAACGTGACGTAATGGGGGTCTCCAACCGCCGAACATCTCGAACCACAATCGATCTACAATACATTCAAAAACAATAATATAAGTAACTAAAATTTTAATGAAACATCAGGGAAAGTCATGGTACATTTGTAAGCAGAAATCGCATATGAAATGAAAATATTCAACTGAAATCTTGATCCTCCCAGTAATTAACCTCAAATGAAAAATCAGTGAAAATGAAATATAAAAAGTGTATATACATATATTATTTAGTACTTCAATAGTACATAGGCAAAATAGAGATTCAAATATCAACTGGTGTATGTGTATGTCGTAATAATTTGAGCTATTCACAATTCGAGGCGAAATTTTTAAAGTGAATTTCAGGTATTGAAAACGGAAAAAGAGTATGTTCCGAAACGTTGACTACTAAAGAAAGCTAAGTATAAATATTCAATGTTTTTTCAATTGATCTTTTCAATTTGTAGGCAAAATTTATGAATACGACAAGTGACTGACTAATTGGACTCTTCGGTGGTTTATATTACGCCGTAACTTTTCAGGTGAACTTTTCAGTTTGCCCTTTATTACACTTCAGCAGATTATCTAGTGATTTAGTTTCATTTATTTTTCAGATTGAGAGGAAAACGGTAGGAAACAACTAGTCAGGTATTTGGTATATTTTTTATGATACTAAATCTTCCTATTTTTTCATATATTTCGGAATGCTCAACAATGCTCATTATTCGGTGACCATCATTTTACTTTTCAATAAAGCTCTGAACTGCCCATGAATATTCTAGATATATACGAAATCTGCCATTGCATTGTCTAGATATTTTCCTAGATCGCAAAAACTGTATGCATTTTGTTGTACATGGAGAAATTCAAAACAAGGTTAACAACTCCAATCCAGTTTCTGGAAATCTTTTCAATCATCTTTCCAGATGTGAATAAAAACACAAACTTCTGCAAATTTTTAAAAGTAAAAGGGCTAGTATATCGGGTGGGGAAAATTTCATAGCACATAACGCTATCTCGGTAACGGTAGAAGATACGATGTTGGTTAAATCCTTTTAGAATCCAGACTTTCATTAGCCGTTCTCAAAATAATCGAAAAAAATTGAAATCGTTGATTAAGATTTTTTTGGGATCTTAACTAAACAAAATATGGAACAAATGTAAACGTTTTTCATTGAACTTCATATTTCCTCAATTCATTTTTCATACGACGTTTCGTTCACTCGTGGCCAGCCTCATCATTTTATTTTAAATACGGACCTGTACTTTTTCCACAAATTATTGATGTCTCTCTTCCACTTTTACGTAAGTACCACTTCAACTTATTTTCATTCAAAAAGAATATAACTAATTTTCTGAAATTTAATATCTAGGTAAATACTCGCTTTGTTACTGAGGAGTGAAAAACCGAACTTGAAGCCTTTAATAAATATTCAAAGTCAACTGTTCTAGGAAAAATGTCCAGAGTTTATAATTCCATTCTGAAATTTGAAGAAACTCGCAATCGTTCGTTTCATTTTTAATTAGTGCATTGTTCCCCAGATTGTACCTTAATTATTGAAAATCAACACTGAAGTCATATTACCATAATATTACTTTTCTGAATAAAGAAACACAAGATGACAAAATAATTTATATTTCATTCGAATTGAAAGAAATATGGAGTAATTTGATATGCATTGAAAGAGGTATCTGAATTTGCTATAAAAATACAGGTTCGTAATTGAAAAAAAAGGTGAGGATGGCTTTGAGTAAGAAAAACGTCGTATGAAGAGAAACATTAATTTCTTCATGTTCTGTATAATGTTAAATACTAGAAGTGAAAAATCAAAATCGACTAGTTCAATTTTTTCGATACTTTCAAGAACAGCTCAATATAATTTCTTTGCATACTAGAGGATGCATTTTTATCTGATTCAACCAACATCCTATCTTCTACGGTTACCAAGATAGCCATAGTTTGCAATTAAATTTTCGCCACTCGGTAGATTTTTTAAATAGCATGATGATGGTCTTCACAGTAGAATTTCACCCACCATAATAATAAAAAGCATCAAATAAAATCACCTGAGTGCAAACCCACTGCCCGTCGACACAAGTACACGTGTTGCAGTCCTTTGGCAGTGATGATCCCGCTGGGAAAGTCTTCCCTCTCAATCTGCATGGGCATTTATCTTTGGTGATGCACTTTCCATCATTTATTACAGTACCCTGTGGACAGAAGCATCCTTCTTCACATTCACCGTTTTCTTCCGACACTACTGAAATGGCCCCACAAGCTGGTTGCCCTTTGGTAGGTCCACATGATTTATAAACCATCCCTCCAGTACAACGCATAGCTGAAAACAAAATTCAAAAATTGATCCCAAACGCCAGCACTTCAACACTCTCAAGTATGGAATACTGCATGACCGAGTGATATTGAGTGGAGCCTTTGAAGTCATCAGAAGTTCCGATCCCATTTTCTGCAGAGTCCACGACCATGAGAGAGTAGTAATTGAGGCATAGTATGAGGCAACTGCCTAAGCGGCCCGGTTTTCTACCATAAACGAGGTGATATCAACTTTGTCACCGAGTTGGATCCCGTTCAGCTGAAAGCCCACATAAAAGCCGCAAAGATCACTTCACTCCCATGGCAACATAAGGATGAGCCAATGCAACAACATTAAAGACCACAGCTTATCGAAACATATGACCTCCAGGTCAAGTGGACTGAAGTAGGAAATTGAGGGGTTCGTCATGGTTTGCCAACATAGTATTTTCTACACCTTTGTCTACCATAGTCGCGTGATGGTTATATAATTTCCTTGCACTAGGAAAAGGTGCCTGAAATCCTAATGTACCTGCTTTCAGCATGCACACCATATGGGTTCTCATCCATTGACATAAGACCCTAAGGTTGTTTTATTGCATCCTACAGCACTGGGAGGTAATAAATACATTGCGGCATTTACGAGATACCTTACGAAATGGGAGTCGACTAAACGACCTCAACTCCTGATTCTGTTAACAAACCTAAGAATCTAGTTGGTGCAGCATGAAAGCCTTCTCATAAGTGATATATCTTATGAATCTACTGTGCACCCAATTTCTGAAGAGCAGAAGCGAAATTTGCATCAAGGAAGGAACTAAACTTCTCTGAGAAGGTCACCAAATGCTAACGCTCAAATGATCATTCACTCAAACCAAGTTATAGCTGATTTACAGATGTCCTCACATGAAAAGGTTGGTGTGGTTATTGAAGTGGGTATATTGCCCTTGAAATCTCTCTGCAATATGCCATCATGGCTGTCGTAGAGGATATTCCAGAAGATGTATTACAGGTGAAATTTCAGAGCTGAACATTCCTGCCTGAGAGAGTCTGGAGTGTATCCTGGGTATAGTTAGTAGCCATGGGAGTGCCTCTTCCTGAAATCCATCACATGAGAGCTGGACCTGGTAAAAGAGCACATACTCTGTGCATGCCCCATCGCGGATCTGATGTTGATTTCGGCGTAAGGTGAAGTCACTCATCAAAGTAATCGGCTTCGTAAAAAAGTTGGATTTATTAGGTCAAATGTGAACAAGTGTGAGCCACAATAACCGCTTACGGATTGCAGTGGAGGGTTCAATAGAACCGCTCACTTTGTACCTAGTCATCTATCCACTTCATATATAAACCAGCCATATGAGTGAAATGTTTGATGTGGGATCCGATAGGAAAATTCGTTAGCAAGGAACAAGAGGAAAATATACGTCGTGGCCACTTAGGATATTGAAGCAATTCAAATATTTAAGGATATATTGATTATATGTGTTGAGTATTGTTTTCATCTTATATAATTTGACATAAGAACACAGCGCAGATGGTACTATAAGAAATATGGAATTTTGATGAAGACTATGAGTACCTTCTAGATCATCTCAAAAATCCAGGCACCAATTATATAAAATTGATTTCAGGGTCTTTTCAAAAGAATACTTCATAAAAACTGAAGTATATGTAGTAGCAATATTTAATAATGTTCTTATTGTAACGTTGAGGATAGTAAGACAAGAGTTGCATTCATTTGCAGTTGCATTTTATGTCGATAATTCAACAAGGAAGCACGGTTTTGTATAACGATTCAAACTTACGGCAAGTCTCTTCGTCTCTCCAATTTGTCAGCCCTTTTATTCCCTTGTGGGTGCAGTCCCTAACGTAGACATTCAAAGTTTTGCACGCGCAATGGGAGCCACTTTCTTCTTTGCAGTTGCAGTAATCAGAACGGCATGCATCGAGAAGATATGTAATGTCGACTACCTGCAGTATCAATCAGCATTCAATTCATTTAATTTTTCAATACCGAACTTACCGTTTGACATGCGGCAAATACTTTATTGGCCATTATTTTCTTGCAGAATTTTGTTGCTTCGTACCCAAGTGATCCTTTTACATTTGTATCGCATGTTTTTCCTTCTGTTGGTACATCGTCGCAGTTCTCTGAAATGGTGATAAATTTTAAAGCTGATCACAAAAAAAGAATCGGTTGTTGAATTTTCCTTAGTAATTCTAAAAAATTGAGTGCCTGATTCGAACGGCAATTCAAATTTTGAATTATCAAAGGTTTATCTTATTTCCAACTACGAACTGCCTTATAAAGTACTGTTCCCGAGTAGAGAGGACTGGAATCTCCGGGAGAAGGAAATATTAGCAGAAGATAGTTGTTGGTTCACAGATAGATCTAAAACACCTTCCGGTTCTGGTGCAGGTGTTTTCAGTCGCAGACCCAGGACAGAGTTATCTACCTGCCTAGGAGCGCTTTCGACAGCTGGTCGTACTGTCATCTTCTAGGCACTCCTCAAACTGTTAACAATTTGTTTAACAATTGTTTAACAACTTTGTTCAACAATTTTGAAAAACAAATAGTTGATGTTCATGGAAATATATAGTTATGTTTGATTTATAACACAATGTCAGAGAAAATTCGTGTTTGACTTAACAAATTGAAAAAAAATACAGGATGGAAAATTCCCAATGATGTCACTTACTTTTATTAATGTCTAAATGTAATAAATAAGTATATATTGAACTAACTATTCATTAGTTCATAGTATTGGGTTGTTTCACAATTTCTACCATTTCAAGAAAAAGTCTTTTTTCGTAATTGTTTTCAATTTGTGAAATAATACTTTGTTCGTAATTTGGAAAATGATTTTTTGTAATACAATGCTCACCCAAAGCACAAGATTTTTTATTGAGTCTAATGTCACTTTTATGGGAAACAATTCGATATCTAAATGATCTAGAAGAAGTTCCAATGTACTGTAAATCACAATCATTGCAAGGTATGTTATTTACTATATTAGTTTGCTTCATTGGTTCTGTTTTATATTTCAGTTTAGTATATAGATTTCCAACGGTTTGATATTTTTGTTTGTAATTTTATTATATATATACCCCATTGTTGCATACTACTGGCTATCACACATACCTCCTAGACTATTAGCTTTCCAGCTAGTTGCCAAGGTTGCAAGATTTTTGGGCCTGTGACCATCAGCTGTCATTATATCATTATCTGGATCGCCATCAATTTTTCCACATAAACCCTCGGTTCTATTCCAGAGGTTTTCCTTTGCTTCGACTTGCAAAAAATTCTGAAAATTATTCACCATTAGACATAGGAAATATAAAATATATGACTTGTGAAATCATATCATGCTAAATATTGGGCTTAAAGTTCAGCTTGTTAGGAAGAATTCAAAACTCTGGCCTGCAGACATTTTTTCAGGCACCTAAAATTAGTAACACTACTTTTATCTTTCATTTTCACATAATATAAGAAACAAAAAATGTTTCACAATACCATATAAAATTGAACAGATCTAGAAACCAATCATTCGCTCTACTCTAAAGGTATTTATCAATTGCCGAGTGCGATAGAAAATGTCCCTAAGAAGCATTTGAAATCAGCAATGGTGCGATTCCTATTTGGAAATGTATTCTATTAGACTTCAGCTCCAATGAAGGTAAGTTTATTATAACTTACATATACAATGCGGACTAAAATAGTGAGCTCTGGAATATACTGCTGTTGTGTAACCTATAATTTAGATTTCACGAATTCCCACAAAAAATTCTATGGGAGTCACATCAGGTAAGCAGGCAGGTTATTCTAAGAGAACACGTTTGCTGTGTTGAGTTCCATCGTGGACTTGGGTCTCTTCAAACTCGTTAACGCTGGCACCATCTCTAAGTGCATGTTTCACTACTGCTGATTTATCTTTACGCCCCAGGCGAAGAGAAGTGTGAATATCCAGCTCTCTGAATGCAAAATGAATTGTTACCTGAGGCATATACCAATGAATTGTTGTTCAAGGCGTACCAATAAATCAGCAGTAGCGGAGAGAAAAATTTAGCTTATTATCAAATTATTTTAAGCTTTATACAATCAATTATGTAAATTAAAAGAGATCTAAATGAAACCTACCTGTCCATCCCATCTTATTTTGACGTCCACGGTATCAAGCGATACTACCAGAAAGTGAGCAGATATTTCTATTCGCACTCCGGGAACCTGGCCGGGAATGGGGAGTATTTTATTTCCAGAGCCGAATATCGGTATGCCGTCAGGAGTGAGTTTCAGAAAGTAACGTTTGTCTTGAACATAAATCTCTATGATCTTATGACAGCTCAAAGTATCGCTATAACAATCTCCGTGATTCTGAGTTATGATGGTGAAGGTGTTGTCGATAGCATCCTTTACGAGAATATGTGAACACTTTGAGTCAAAACTGAAAAATTTCGAAAATAATCAATAGAGTTGGAAGGTGGAAGTGTTTCTTTAGAACTTTGATCAATTATTTCTATGTGATTTGTTACTTAGTAAATGAGCTGATTGTCTTTCAATTTAAACGATATAGCTTATCTTGAGCCACATATGGGATGTATCTTATTTACAGTTTCTTTGTGATTATTATTTCTACAATAACATATTTTACAGTTATTACAGACAAAAAACAAAACTTATACACACTGAATATTATTTGTTAATGATCCTTGGATCATAAAATATAAAGAAAAATCGCTTTACGATTTTACTAAATGAATTGAGAAATTGTATGTTGAGAGCTGAACGTTATGAAAAACCACTTGTCAAGAGAGGACTGTCTTGTCTTGTTTCTACTAAGGTGACTCGATCTCTTGTTTTGTGTGAAGACGATTTTTCAAGAAACCAGACAAGACGTGACAAGAGAAGAGAATTGCTTGTCTTGGTGGCAACACTAGGACACGATGCATAGCTATTTGCAAATTTTCAAATTATTGGACGTGACATCAGGGCCTGACGGTATAAGACCAGCCCTACTTCAGTGGGGACTGGACACTCGTATGCCACACCTGGTTGGAATATTCAGAGCCTCTCTAGCTCTGAGGTATATTCCCAGTAAGTGGAGAGAAGTAAGAGTAGTATTTATACCCAAACCAGGTAGGATGGACTACACCCTACCAAAAGCATTCCGACCAATTAGTCTCACATATTTTTTCTTAAAAACCATGGAGAGGCTATGTGAGCAGTATATAAGAGATGAAGTACTTGTTAACAACCTACTTCATCCAAATCAGCATGCATATACCCCGGGAAGGTCTACTGATTCGGCCCTTCACCATGTGGTTGGCAGAATCGAGGGATCATTGGACAACAAAGAATCCACCCTAGGTATATTCACAGATATTGAGGGAGCGTTTGATAAAACAACCTTTCCAACAATTACCCAGCAACTACACTCCAGGAATGTACCCCTGGTAGTAGGAGAATGAACACTCCAGAATGTCTCCCAGCAACCTGTCTAGCAGAGCAATAAGTATCAATGTAGAAGACATCACAGTAAAAGGACTGGTCATGAGGGGATGCCCACAGGGAGGGGTCTTATCACCCCTTCTCTGGAACATAGTTCTGGATACCCTAATTAATCACCTTAACAAAAATGGATTCTACACAATTACATACGCAGATGACATAGTTATCTTGCAGACCGGCAAATTTGTAAACACACTGTGCGATAGAGCGCAGGATGGGCTCAAATTGATAGAAACATGGTGTAAGGAACACTCAGTGTCGATCAATCCCAAGAAGACTGAGATGGTCCTTTTCACCAGGAAAAGAAGTTTAACGGGCTTAAAACCTCCCGAAATATTCAAAAGCCAACTAAACTTCTCTGAAGAGGTGGGCAGGATGTGTGAACAGGAAGATGAGACTGTCAGGCATATCCTGTACGAGTGCCCGGAGTTATCGTCAATAAGAGAGTGTGTGTTCGGCGAGTCTTGGCCTACACCTGCCGATATAAAGGAGATGTCTCCCAGCGACCTGTCCACCTTCCTGGAAAGGACAGGATGGACGACGACCTAGGAGGACAACTCCTCGGGAGGATATACAATGGGTCACATGTGGCCTAAGTGCGTGGGCTTACACTCACCCTCCCTACTCTACAGATACAGATACTATTACATTTCTTGTATTATTGTCCAACATCAACATAGCTTACCTGTAAACCCGATCGTCAAATGTTTTGTAATGAGTGCCTCCCCAATGGAAACAAGATCCAGGTTTAGGCAACTTGTTCTCCACTGTTACTAGTTGGTGTTCGTTTCTTGTGAAGTATCCGCCGGGTATCTCTCGAGCATTGGTCTCATTCAGAAATTCTTCATGAACGGTCTGAAAAAACAACATACTGGTCATCTCATAAATACCTTGGGAAATTAAAACTTCACTTTTCATAAAAAAGTACAAACACCACAGGCAAGTCAGTAAGACGCTTTGAGACCGGTGCCTCGATAGCAGAGATTATTGTTTGATTAAAATCACTATACCTATATTCATTTGTGAAATTTCACATCTCGTGATTTGGCTTTGATAATAATTATAAACGACTACAGCGTCATATATGAAAATGAAATGATGAGGCGGAATATATACCTGTGAATTTGAAGTTGAGTTTGTTTTCTAGCTAGATAACACGACCTATTATCCGTTTACGTTTACGTCTACGTGATAATTAATTGACCACTTGAAATTAAGATCTCCAACGTCCATAAAACGAAAGATTCGTAACAGTCTAACCAAACCTTTATCAAGTATTTAAGGAGCATACAACTTTCCAGTTCAACATATTGTTCCAAGTTTCTGATAAGCTAACTTTACTCATCAAGTAACGTAATTGTGCGAAGACATATTCACCGAGATTAGTGGAATTGTGTGCCCTGATACTATAGGGTCTTTCATTAAGCTTTTCCTATCTTTAGATTTGAATAGAACAAAGTGTGTGTAAGATATCATCGTTCAAATGACCACAACGACTTCCCTGGGAGGAGCGCATCCGAAATGTAAAATTTTCAATGACTCTGGCGCATAAATCAGGCTGAATTTGACCGATGGCATGTGTTATTGGCTTTGAGAACCACTGTGGTTTGTGGTTTATTCGCATACAACTGCGACTTAAAAGAACCCCACAAGAAAAAGTCTAACGGGATCAAATCGCACGATCTCGGTGGCCAGTTCACGTCACCTACACGTGAGATGACCATACCCTCAAATCGCTGGTGTAGAATATTCAATGTGACATGAGCTGTGTAGCACGTCCTGATGAAACCACATGTCGTCAGTGTCCAGATCATCCAATTCAGATCAAAAGAAGTTGGTAATCGTCGACCTATAATGCTCGCCGCCCAAGTATTTTAAACTCAAACGGCATATCGGTTGGGATCATCGGGATCCCCGGAATGAGAACTTCCTCGCCTTCGAATTTTCCTTTGAATATCGTCGCGTAAATCACATTGTTCATCAATATACTTACCACCAAACGTGTACCGTTGCAAAGTTTTGGTGGGTTTATGTTTCGAAGCATGATTACTACGGAGCCAACCTTCAGGCGTAAATTGTGCGGGTGGTAAGCCAGGCACATCCAAGGAGTTTAAAAATTCAATTGGATAGTTGGTGGCTTCATCTTCATTTGTTACACAGTCAATTGATTTGAATGAATGCATTGTTCCGATGATATCATTCTGAATTATGTAGTTCAGGTCATATACATCTTTATTCTTAGCCGCTAAAATTGCTCGCTCACTCAACCATTCATTATTTTTGTAGTTAGTAATTATGTTTGGAAATACTTTGCTGATAAGTTCGTCTTTCGATGAGACGAAGTTACAGAAATTCTGAGGAAATGAAATCAATCCGCTCGATTCGTCGACCGGTACTCGACCATTACCGATAGTCAGCAACTGCTCGGAGAAATCTTCAGCAGATGTATCATTAAGCAATGCAGCTCTCATGTTTATTGTCAGCTGAAGTTTCTTCACATAGCGCTATAGATTCGATGATTTGAGGCAAGCGTTTATTTCGTCGGCAGCCGTTGATCTTGGAATTATTGGCAGTGTTTGGCGGAAATCGCCTGACAGTAAAATCATTGCACATTGCAATCGAAACATCTCGAGTCATTGCGTATATCTTCCAATGGTCGGTTAAGTGCTTCTAATGCACGTTTGTACGCCATTGTGCATTCGTCCCATATGATGATTTTCGATGCTGATAAAACTTTGGCCATTGCGTAGTTTTTTGAAATATTACATGTTGGTTCTTCAATAGTTTGAAGATTCAACGGCAATTTTAATACTGAATGAGCCGTACGGCATCCTTCTAATAATGTGGCTGCTATTCCAGAAGAAGCAACTGCAAGCGCAATTTTGGATCTCGCACGAACAGTAGCTAAAACTAATGACATCAGGAATGTCTTACCAGTTCCACTAGGGGTATCCAGGAAATATAAACCACCATTTCCATCATCAATTGCCTTCATTAACCATTGACAAAATTACGTTCAGCTGTCATTTACCTTTTTTTGTTATTCCATGTCAGATGCGTTTTTGCTATACCACGTTTCATAGTGACTTCTTGGTGACTTCACGGAAACGCGATCGAACGGGATAAAAAGTATACTATGTCCCTCTCCTTGTTCCAAGCTACCTCTCCACCAATTTTCAGCCAAATCGGTTCATCCGTTCTGGAGTTATAAATAGTGTAACTAACACCACTTTCTTTTATATATTACGAGGGTCCAGACTCTGAAGCAGTAATCCTCAAACCCATGGATGCATTCTGGTAGTCCAAACACGTCATTGAATCACACTATTGCTTACAGATTGTTAAATGTGACAGTACTGATTGCTGCGGAGTCGGAGATCCAACACAATGATATAAAAATGATTCTCAATAATGGCTTTTGACTAGTACAGCTTGTTACGGAAAAGCTGAGCATATTGACATCAAAGGAAAACGTATAGGGCGCTCATTTTTTGTCACTTTTTCTGCTGTGCCGTACAAATCATCCTCCTACCGGTAGTGAAGTAGTAGAGTGCCGGATTAAGTTCCACCTACCACTGCGACGGATAGATTACCTAACTAACCCATTCAGTTCAGATGATTGATCTGAATTGATCTCGTTTTAACTGTTCAGGTTAGTTTTTTTGAAATCAATAAAACTAGTCGATTATTATTTTAAAAGTGTTATTAGTTCGTAGATTGTTTAACTGATTTAACGGGAATCCATCTAGTAACATTTCTTGTTCGCTTTTTTGTGAATTATGACTCATAACACTTATCTACTTCACTCAGTAACGGAATATCAAAATTCTGACGAGACAAGAAACATTCAAGGAGACATAGTTGGAACAGATAAAGGCAGTGAAAAAAATAAATATATTGCATGAACATTAGTGTCCCTCAAGAGCCTACACTGGGACCAGTTCTTTTTACAATTTTCATAAATGATATATTATGGTTTACTTATGCTCGAAGATGTATTTTTATGACATCAATATCCTAATTTTTGAGAATAAAACAAGATATTGTGAATAACACAAACATTTGTTTTAACTGATTTCCATAAGTGTTGTGTATTCAACGGATTGCTAGTGAATTTGTTAGACATTTTTTATGGAACTTACAAAAAAAACATAAATTATGATTTGTCCTTTAATACAGGTTCATAAAACAATAGAGCAGGAAAACAACTAATTTCTGAATGTAAGTATCTTTGTAAATTCTCAAAGTTGCCTACTTTGGAATAGTACAATCAATAAATGATAAGTTCAACTTGATTGGTGGAACGCATATAGAATAGTATTGCAGTTCTGGTATGTGTAAGCTGTATTTGTTTTGGACACTGTAAAGCGTAGCTCACCTAGCAGAAGTTTCGGGTGCTTGCGTGTAGAATAAATGTTTATAACTATCAACATAACCATTTCAACATAAAATAGTAAGAATATCATAAATGAATATAGCAAAGGTAGCATCTAATTCAAATATAGCAATATCGTAAATATTACAAATTCATCATCATCAACAGAAATTCAGCGATACCCTAAATAAATTATCATTTGAAGGAAATCTCTGCCACCAAATATATGAATATTTGCTTTTACTTAAAATTTGAACTATTTCACATTGCCTTTTTGATGATATAGGAGAGTATCCTAATTTCACTCCCACACCAAAGACCAACTATTTTTTTCTTAATTTTGTTTGAGAAACTACATTCAATATAATTTCAACAATCATTCAAATATTTTTTCCAAAATACCTACGAAATTTTGAATTACAGAACTTTTCATTCAAATGATATCTTGCCGTATACATTACTTTGAGGAGACATTCAAATTGAAAATATTTTAAATTTGATCACAATGTATACTGTTTTATTGGTAGCCTAAAATTATAACTTATCGAGTTGCCTGCGAAATATCACTGCTAATCAAAGGTCCTTCAGCCATGTAGAGAAACAGAATTAGCAAACTTTTGTGAGAAAAAAATGTAGTCGACGAGAGATTCAAACCAATGATCGTAATGGAGCAAATTACCGCTACTGGTGGCCAAAATAAAAAATTATTTATATAGATATGTCCTGGATGGGTTTCAAAAATGCAACTATCAATTATGCTATATACTTACATATGGAAACGGATTATCAGTACGGGAATCATATGGTGATTGAGTAGAATATCCCATTGGTATATGTCCATAACCGGCTATAACATTTGCCAGATTGGATTTCGATCCATTTAAGCGTCGAAAAATATCTGTAATTCCAGGTTCTTGAAGAATGTTTGTGTATTCAGCTAGAACAATTTCATTATTTTGATATAACAGAAAAGATGAGAGAATATTTTATAGATAATGAAATACTGAAATATTCTGGTCTATTGATAAAGGGGGGCCTGAAAATTTCGAATCAATGAAAACTCATCAACTGAAATCAACTTAGCCATTTTGATTTTAGTTTTGTATCAAAAAATAAAAAAAGTAATAATATTTACGATATATGCATTTCGGCATGGGACTCGGAAGGAACACCCCTGTTTCATAACGACACTCATATACTGGCGCAGGCTGGAACTCAAAATTGATGCCTTCTGGGCAGGAAATAGAACAGCTGAAAGAGTCTAAGTCGCCGGTGCAGTTGTAACCCCCATTAATTGGAAGTTTTTTGGCAGAGCAGACGTCCGCATCTGAAATTAGTTTGTATTCATGCATATTGAAAACAAAAAAAAATGTTCATTCATTTTATTTAATAAAATAGATAGTTGACTTGTTACTTCCAGTCTGATGATTATTATCCTCCAATATGAAAACATATTATGTAACTATATTGTGAAAAAAAGTTTTTATAATCAGAACACCTGAAGACAATCGACCCGCAACCAGTTATAAGTCTGGAAATGGGGATGATATCAATACCGCTGTGTACCGGTTTTTTATGTGATAAATAATCGATGCCTAAGCCCCTATATATCACCTTAGAATTTCCAAACAGCAACTTATAAAAATTATTATTCAGAATACTCGTCAACGTGACCTTTAATCTCTGTTGGACAAAACCCCGACCCAGTCGAATCTCCGGAAAGCTAAGGTTTCTGGTGAATGTGCAGCATCTTCACATACAAGATTGTCCTTTTTGGACAGTTGAGTGGTTCAGCCTAGCACCACTGATGACACTTTGACGGGTCAAAGCAGGACTGTCTGGTGTTGGACCACAAATACATTTGGTTGTCTTGCATGGATCGCCGAATCTCTTTCGGCGGTCAATGTGGAAGCTTGGCTTTGTAAATAATCGCCTTGAAAAGTATCGTGTATCTGTCTGTCTGTCTGTCTGTCAACCCCATAGGTGGTGTTTCCTCAGGAAGACATCTGTATCTGTAGAGTAGATAGAGTGAGTGTAGACCCACAGCACTTAGGCCATATGTGACCCATTGTACATCCTCCCGAGGAGTTGTCCTCCTAGGTCATCGTTCATCCTGTCCTTTCCAGGAAGGTGAACAGGTCACTAGGAGACATCTCCTTCATATCGGCAGGTGTAGGCCAAGACTCGTCGAACACATAGTCTTTTTGGCAACCTTAAGGTGTCTTACGGTGGCCTCCGCGAAGATTTTGGAAGGTGCAGCGACATAACTGTCATTGCGCGGCTTCTTCAACCTTCTTGGGGTTCTCTTCGTGGAGGTGCACAAGTGAGGGAGCTTTCCTGCAGGGGCAGCCGGTTCCTTGCCTTTATTAAAAGCGGAGCTCTTGGCGCCCGTCGCAGAAAGTGCCCTTGCTGTTAGAGGTGGAGTGGGGGAGAAGGAGGTTCACTCACAGTTACTGCCACTCCTGCATCCTTCGCTCTCTTTCTCCTTTTGGCCTCGGCGCCGGAAATGCGCTTACTCCTTGGCCACCGCCAAACCCCAGCCACCATCTTAGATTGAGGTGAGCACTTCTGTCCAGCTTCGGGATTGGTTTTGGTTGTTTCTGTTTTTGTGTTTGTTTTATTCATGTATGTTCCCACGAGTAGCAAGGGAAGAGTTGGTCACCTCTGGCATTACCAAAGGTAGGCTGATTACAATGAGGTTTCGTCCAGTTCGTCAAGGGGTTCGTTCGTAACCGCATATCACCCTGCGGCCATTCAGCTGTCGGCACGATTCCTTTCACTTTAGCTTGGGTAGAATGGTCCACGGTGCCCTGTCTTGTGCCTCTAGTCCCCTGGCCGTTCCCCTAGCCGCCACCTGGGGACGTGCCCGATAGGTAGTCCAACCCACGGGCTCAGGGAGAGATATCATCACCTTTACTTCTGTTGAAGTTAATCAATTTCGTGTGTTTTTTAGAGGGAATTAGTAACTGTTCCCTTTACTAATCCCAGGCATCTCTTTTCCAACCCTAGAGGTTTTTCTGTTTTTGTTAGTGATATTCTAATCAACTGTTTCAGTTGTTTTTGTTCTGTCATTTCATTTCAGTGATATTTGATTTTTTCAAGTTCCCAGGATCCAAATTACTTCTGAATGTGGGTTTTAGAAGTACACTGAACGAATGTTATAAACACTACACAAGAAAAAAATCGGTTCCAAACAACTACTTTCATATTAACACTGAATTACATGAAACACACTTCTTGCGTTCAGTCTGTTCTCGAAACATTCGTTATACAATTGAAATTATTATAAGCATCAACAGTCCCATAGTAGAGCTTATCTACAGGGTGGAAAAATGTTTGTTAATAACGAAGGCAATAAAAAACTACTATCATCATGGCCTTAGGCAACGAAAAATTCCATTCCATTCCATACATTCGCTGAAAATATTAAACCAATATCACTTGTTTCGACAGGTTTATCACACTTTCAAGAGCGTCTACGGGGTGCAAAAATGACCTCGACATGCATGAACGAAGTATTTTTACAGCCTCACACGACGATGGATTCCGTTAAGATTTGCAGAGAATATTGCAAATGTATTATTTTTATCAACAGTCTTACAGCAGCGAACTGACAAGCTTTTATCTACGAAGTGAAAAAAAACATTGTGAATGGCGAAGGGCACAAAAAGAAATATTATCTCCATATGCAATGGGGGATTTTAGTAATAATCACCAAGAATTTTGTTTTATTATTACTAGTTCCAAATTCATTATAGCAGTCAACTTCTAAGAGTGTACACGATGTGGAGAAAATAGTTTCGCAATGCTAAAACGGCTTTATACAACGATTCATTTGAATAGAATTTACAGAGAATATTGCACTTCTATTAATCGTGTCAACGGTCTAATAACTTCCTGAAAAGCCTATGCCTATCTACGGCGTGAATTGAGAAGAAGAAAAAGTATCAGCACGGTCTCAACGCAACGAGGAATTTTGTTTTGATTAAAACAAGTTTAAATAAAATCTCTTGTTGCGTTGAGACAGTGCTGATATCAGCCAAAAGGGTAAGGGAGCTGGGCTCCAATCTTTCTGAAATCAAGATGGCTATCGGTAGACAGTGCTAATATTTATTTTTGCGCCGTCACCATTTAGGTTATGTTAGGTTAGGTCCAAAGTGACATACTCGACCAAATAAACCCAGCTTCTTGACGAAGCCGATTAGTTTGTATGGTGAGTGGTCTTTCAGGTCAGATGGTAAGAGTGCGACTCTGCCGAACTCTAAAAACCTGATTCGGTTCCCAGCGGGGCAGGCACAAAATATGTGCTCTACTGTTTCATTATTTTTCAAACAGAGGCGACACACACTGTCTTGCCACAGTCCAAGTTTCTGCATATGATGATTCAGATGACAGTAACATGTAATAAAGCCTGTTGGACATCGTAGTTCATCCTCACTGTAGTCCAACAACTATTTGGTATCAAGTTTCGAAGGGTGAATAAACGCCTTGGAGTGAGCCAATCCTGGAAGATTCTGCCAGAAGTCTGTAAATCTTATTGCCATCCAGGTGTTCAATCTTTGTTTGACAAAGCCTAAAGCGATGCCACTGACAGTTTCTGGTCCGATGAAGCTGCTTGCAGCACCCTCCTTTGCAAGGGAGTCATCAGCCTCATTGGTTTCTAGGCCAGTATGGCAAGAAATCCAGACAAGAGACAATATGTTAAGTCTTCCTATCGAGAAGACTCGTTTTTGGCAATTTTCTACCAATTTAGACGTTGCTCGGTAGGAGCCAAGAACTTCAAACGCCGCTTGACTGCCCGAGAATATTATATTGACTTGTGTGTGAGGTTGTTTTCTTCCATTCTCTCCGCACACAATTCAAAAACGTAAATTTTCGCTTGAAATACAGTCACATAGATTCCTGCTTTCACCATTTACAAATATCTTTCTTTTTTACCCTGTAAATAAGCTTGTCAATTGTTTGTTACATAGCCGTTATTGGAAATAATACATATGAAATATTATCTTCATGTATAAGTAGATTCTGTCTGAAAATCTAGTTAAATCCAAATTCCACATTGTATCATTTCGGAAATATATTTTCACCGCGTAGACACTTTTGGAAGTTGGCTGCTATGAAACCGTTGAAATACATATTATCAATACAAAATTCTCAGGAAATTTCAACAAAATCCCTCGTTGTGATGATGCCATGCTAATATTTCTCCTTTTCATCTTCGCCATTTACGAATTTCTTTTTTCCACCACTTTTTTCCGGTGAGCAATGTAGCAATGTTATGTGAACTATCTGTCGCATTCGCCATTTACAAAATATTTCTGGCCGCCAGCTTCAGGTTCATCAAAAATCTGGTAACCATGTACATTCATAATTAGAACACATACTATAGTAAAGCTTGAGAAAGCTATTGTATAGCGAAATACGTGTCGCGGTTTTTGTAAAACCTTTTATAGTGAAAATCATACAATAAACGGTATTAATGAGTTTTAATATGGATTTTCATCAAGTATCGGCCAGTTCTATTTACTTACTATATTGGCACTGAGGTCCTCTATACTCCTGTGGGCATTGACAAACATTGAATGATAAACAGTTACCACCATTTTGGCAGGGCGGATTACAAGTCGCTGAAAAGTAAGAGATTGTATTTTTAGAGAACCGTCATATTTGAATTGATAGTTGTTTGTATATGATTGAGAACTCAAATGAAATGGAAGATATTTTTATAGGGACTACAGTATTCCAAGAACATGCTATTTCATCGGTCTGAATGTGTTGGTGTTAGAGAAGTTACCAAGTATTTGTATTTCAAACGAATAATATATCTTTCAGTATCGATTTTAACTAATAATAGTATGTTTTGTGTTTCATTTTGACATTTTTTGAGAGAAAGTTCACATATGTTTCGAAATAATGGATGAGAAAGCTCCTCTGAGAGTTACCACAAATATTGAGGTGTCATAGATCAATGAAGTTTGAATATCAGTTAAAAATTCACAAGTTTATGGGGAAAAAATATAATCGCGACTTTTATTTTTCGCTAAGAGTGAAGATAAAGAAGTGCACTGGATTATCCATCCTCAGCCTTTATTATTTGAAGCTTTTTGGAAAGTTATTGACTCACTGGAAAATGACACTAGTGATAATAATGTTTTTCTATTTTTTTCAAAATATAAAAACCACAAATATTAAATGCTTTGCATTTTAGAACAATTAGTTTCAGTTTACCTATTACAAAAATTTTCTTGTTGTTATATTAGTAAGATAATTCAAATGATTTCGGCTTGTTCTCCTATACCGTTGAAACTGTATTCTTCAAACCGATAATGAAATTTTCTATTTTACCTCAAATATTTTTGAAGAATTAAATATGGTGTATTTGAGTATTCATCTCATGAACCAGTTTCTATTGCCAATTGTATTGAGTTCTTTCAAATAGTTTATTCACTATTTTTGATTGTATAAAATTCGAATTTGTATTCAAATTTTTTCAATAAAAACAAAATGTAATAGAGTAATGGAAGAACTACTGAAATAAGTTGAAAGTTCTTATTGTATTGTATACAGAAAAAATAATTGTTATAAATCTTCAACTTCAACATTTTTCTTTCATTCATGAAACTATTGTTTCCATATTAGTGCAGTGAGTTTCAATGTTTTCATTTCTTTCATATTTTTATAAAATTTGAAAAATTTATCAGTCTATCTGGCATCTACCGCTGAAAATATCACCCCAAAAATGGTGTTTATTTTGAATTCTACCCAATTAAATTTATATTCTCCACGGAAACCATACTGTATGTAAGTAAGGTACTATATGTTCATACAGTACCTTACTGTATGAACATGATGTCTAACAGAGAAAATGAGGCTGAAATTATATGGGGTTTAGGTCTGTATTGTTGTTATTACCTCTGCAATCTGGTATTGAAGTCCACTTTTCATTGGTGGGAACCCAGAGACCGTCCTTACATGCCATCGTAGTTATTCCAGAACCATCAGGAAATTCATGTCCTTCGATGCAAGTAACCGTACATAATCTGTCGAAATTATTGTATCCATCAAAAATAAACTACTACACTACATTCGGACTGAAAATAGCCAACCGAGCAATTTATATCGGGTGCAATTTTTTGATCAAAACACGTCAGTATGGACTTAAATTTCAGTTTTTGGGGTCATGTATGAAGTACCTCGACCACCAATATGATAAGGAAAATTGAGAATTAAAACTTCCTATGTTTTCGTTACTTTCATTTGTAACTAACGTTACTGCAGTAACGTTGTAAGTAACGTTACTGTGAAAATAACGTTACTGCTGTAACGTTAGTTACAATAAAAATTGGTAAATAAAATAGTGAGTTTCATTCCTCATTTTTCATGATGATCTCCTATCAGGTAGTAATGGTTTCATCCATCAATTTACTCTGATAGTATGCTCATTTCTTCGAGTCTTTCTCCAGAAATATAAGCATTGTGAAAATTTAGAACTTTTTTTAGATAATATCATGTACATCCTTTTCTAGTTGTTTTTTCTTGTAACATCCATAATTGAGAAGATTTTTTCATTACATATAACTCAAAAGAATTAATTTCGATGGAATTGTGAAAAACCAGTGATTCATTTCTCTTGTTCCTTTTTTTTTCTTTTTTTCAAGAACGAATCACAGGCACTACAGGAGAATCCTTAAGGCTCTCTTAGAGCGGTGCCTGTGCGAAAGTAGCGACTAACTTTGGATTTGAATCTCTGGAAATCAAATTAATCTGGAAAAACGTTCTCAGGAAGTTTATTCCACAGAAACATAGTTATCCAAATGGAAGAGTTCTTGCCCAGTGGAGTTCAAGGTGTACTGAGTTGAGCCTCAAAGCTATGATCAGTCACAGCCCGGCTCGTATTTCTGATATGAACCGCTCTTGGAGGAATCAAATATGTCAAGTCACTTGAATACCTCTAGTGAAAGTATCTATAAAAGAGTGACAAATCTTCAACCTTTCTTCGATGTTCCGGGCTATCAAGGTTGCAAATGATGTTCGTGTCTCCAATCAGGCGAATGGCTCTTTTCTGGGTGGAATCCAGCAGTTTCAGGGTATGCTTGGGGGCGAAGCTCCATACATGTGACCAATACTCAAAAGAAGATCCGATCTGAGCTTCATAAAGCATTAATAGCTGCTTGGGTGTGTACAGTTTTCTGGTTTGGAGACAATTATCTTTTTGGAGGAAACTTATGCCTGGGTTTTCGTAACCTTGAATCCAACCTGGTTACTTTCACCCCAATTCGAAATCACCTCTTAATCTGCATTAAGATATGCAACCTCCTGCTGCCAGATGTATATCCGCAGTCGATGTCCTGGAATCCAAATGGAGTGACGAGACAAGTGTACTGTTATCAGTAAAGCAATAAATTGGATTCTTGTTTTTTCCCAATAAGTCGTTGATATACAATACAATAACAATTGTTTCTACCTTTTCTGATAACAAATGTTATCAAGAATCAAATTCTCATGAATAAGGAATGATTATCAATTTCCTCCCGATCACTGTCCATCAAGAGGATACCCGAACGAAATATGGTTGTGCAAAGGTCATGTAGAGCTCGTCAAATTTTATGTGATTGTGAGGCACATAATCACAGGAGAAAAGCAATTTATGGACAACCCAAATTATATACAGAAGAATATGAGGAGCGTCCAACAACATCAACAGTAAATATCTAGAAAATATTCCCAAACACGGAAAACACTCTGTGTACGAATATTATCAAATTAAAAAACATTTCACGGAACAAAATATTAATTAAAAAAAATGGATGTGAATTTATCAGACACTTTTCGAATAAACATAAAGGAACTGATAAATAATATTCATTACAAAAAATGGAAGTATCATTGATTGGAATTTTATTTTAGTCTGACAGTAGAAAATGGCTGAAATATTTTTACCCACCTAATTTTTTTTGATTAGGCAAAATTTTCTCGTTGTTGTTGAATAAAGCTCTTACACTATATTTTCGAAAAATCTTGATGGTTGGTCCCGTTTCAGTTTCATGATTTTCTGGTCTGTATTTTTTGTTGTTATAAATTTTTTTATATGAAACTAATTCAACATTCTTCTGTTACAATCAGTATAAAAATTATATCGATCTTATCAACATAAGAGTTACTTTACATCATATTATCAAGTTGAGGATGAAGGAGTAGGGGATAAAAATTACAGAAGTAATGGCGATTTCAGAAGAAAAATCGACTTTTCTGAATATTTTACTGATATTCAAATGAAATCTACAGGGTGTATCAACGATGTGTGAATGGCGATACCGGCATCTCTTTCAAGACACAAAGAAAATATGTCTAGAACGAACACTGTAGAAACCATATTATGAAAAATGATAATTGAAAGTTCCTGTTATACCACTCGTATTCGTAACTAACGTTACAAGGGCATTTTTCAACAAATAGATTCGTTCGAAAAACGAATATATTTCAATATTTTGAAAGAATATATCCGTTTGAAAAACGATTATATTCGTTTGAAAATGTCCTTGCAGGAAGAAACTGCAGAAAAGTTAATTACAAATACAAGTGGTATAAAAACAGAAAATTCTAATTCTCATTTTTCGTGGTGATTTCCTACCACGTAGTAACGGATACATCCATCAATTTACTGAAAGACCATGTTACATAAATAACTACCCACATCAAACACCCAATGTGTTTGATGAATATGTAAATTATCAAAGTTATGTTTTTGAATAGAATAGCCTACACATTTTGACCCGATTGATTTTTCTGAAAAGAGTTGTTTTCGAAAATATGGCGTTGTTACGATTCATACCAAGTGAGTCGAAAGTTACGGTGAAATGGGCTCATTCGACACCAAGTATCTTCAAATCTATAAAATGAAACGAAATGAGTTTCATCCAAATATTCTTGAGAACAGTATTATTTCATTTTTATATTCATAATCTTATCGAGTGACGCTTTTTTCATATGACTCCAGACGGAACCCTCTGTAGGTAAGGCCATACTAGAATAGTACATGATATGATCATTCAAAAAATGAAAGGTTTCACTACTTCATATTTTCACAAAAATCGACATTGCTTCTATTGAATAAGGTTTTAATATTTTCCTCAAAAATTAAGATTCATTTCAGATATATATCTGCTGCAAAATAATTCCATGAAAAAAAAATAGATAAGTATTCTTTGATCATTCCCATATTGATTTCAATTCGAGAGCCACCGGTATACAGCTGTTTCAGCCTGTTGGGCATCGTCAGTACCGGGCAGGCGGTCCTCGATTGAAGACAATATATATATTGTCTTTTACAAAGGCATGCTTCGAATAATACAAAATAAAACCGGTGGTTTTTGTAAAACCCTTATAGTGAAAATCATAGAATAAACTCTATTGATTAGTTCTTTATTCTGAAAAACCTTCAAAATATATTAGCATAAGTTTTTTACCTAAATTGTATAATCTTACTACATAAAATATACGTTTATTTCACCACCTTATCCTATTTTTTATGAACTCCTAAACAGTTCAAAATCATATGAGGCATTTATTGGGAGCTCCTCGTAGCAATGATGAAATCAGATCATGGTCACATATTTTTTGATCGAACCTTGTGCAGAGGTGCACAACAGCTCTTAGCCGACACCCTCCTGCCCCGTCACATGCCAGCAAAAAATAAAATCTCGACCCGAAACATCAAAGACAACGACGGGGGGTGAATTTACTTCTGTTTACTTATGTACGGTGGTTGTACTCACTTTGAATTGCATCTCCGTGCTGCGTTCATTGGCGGTGTAGGGTAATTAATGCAGGGTTTATTCTCGAACTGGCACTGGGGTCCTGAGTAGGTTTTCGGACATTGACACTGGTTCGGTGCAAAACATATACCTTTGTTTTGACATTGCGGTGAACAAATAGCTGAAAATAAATCGAAATGTCAACTTTTGTTGTTGAGAAGAGTTCTTGTTGAGAAGAGTTCAACTTAGTGAAGACAATGCTGAAGATGTTCAAGATCAAATGTTTCAATTCAATAACTTTGCCTGCTTATGCTTAGCAAATATTTCAATAAATACTCTCCTTTCTTCTATTGAAAAAGAAACAGGAATTCATGTGTAACCAAAGATTTGTCGGTCATATACATAAAAGAGTAGTCATTTCAGATGAATCGTTTTTTAAATGTCTAATCTTAGTATTACATTCGAGTGCGAACTATATTATTTGGTGCATGCACCAGTGCAATTTTCTGCACCAAAATTTTAAAGGTGTTTCCGCCAAACCCTCTTTATACCACCAAAATTAAGTAGTTCCTTCACCAAAACTTCGATTCTCCCTTCAGCAAAATTTTTATACTTCATCAATCAAAACATTAATACTTATTGAAGACGTAGTTACAGTTTGTCAAATCTAGGAAGCGACTTTAAAGTCTCGGTTTAGGATCTCCCCTAAGTAATTTTATGTATTTTCTCAGCTTATTACTATATGATGTCGTAAAGCGATAACAAGACATTTGGCAATGATAGTGTTAGTGAACGCACTGTATGACGGAATTTCGTTTCCAAAATTTTAGTATCGAAGATAAGCTCCGAAGAGGTTGATCCGCAATAATACAGGACGAGAATTTGAGGATCCTGGTGGAGACTGACCCATCACAAACGACCCATTACAATTCGGAAGCTCGAAAGGTGGGAGCCCCACGATTTAAACGATCAACACAAATTGTCATGTTTTTAGGTCAGTTCCATTTTGCTTTTATACAACCAATATTATCTTTTTTTTAATCCAATCGTCACGTATGATGAGAAGGGAATCCTCTACAACAACAGGAGATGTTCGGAAGAATAGCTGGACATCGTTGAACCGCCCAGGCACTCCGCAGAGACGAAAAACCCCCAAAAAAGATCGTGGTTACTGTATGGTGGTCAGTGGTTGATGTAATCCACTATAACATTCTGCAACCAAGCCGTACCATCACTGCAGAGTCCTATTGGGAAAAAATCGACGACATGTATCGAAAATTGTCTCAGCAGCAACCAACACTGGTCAACAGAAGAGGTCCGATCCTTCTCCACGACAACGCACGTCCAAACGTGTCACAAATCACCGTCCGAAAATTAAACACATTGAGCTTTGAAGTTTGCCTCATGCACCATCCTCTCCAGACCTCTCGCCAACTGACTATCATATTTTGAAGCTCTTCGATAACTTTCTCACCGGTGAAACTTTCGTCAATCAGCATCAGGGAAAAACCGGTTTTTTTAAGGACAAAACACAAGCATTACATGAAAATCCTTAAGGCCCTCTCAGAGCGGTGCCTGTGCGAAAGTAGTGATTCACATTGGATTTGAATCATTGGAGACAGAATCCATTTGGAAAAACGTTCTCAGGAAGTTTATTCCACATAAACGAAGTTCTTCAAATGAAGATGAATGTTTCCGGTTCGGAAACATTCATCTAGAGAAAACCGATACATGGGTTTTTGTGGCATTGAATTTAACCTGGTTACTTTCACCCCAATTCGAAAGTACTTCTAGATCCTCATTAAGATATTCAACCTCCTGCTGTCGGTGAGGATGTGTCTTTGATATGCACTAAAAAGAGGGTTGGGGACAATTAGGATCCCCGGAGAACACCAGCGTTGATGGTGAAAGTATTCGAGAGATATCCATCGACGGCTACTTACAGGGAACGGTTTTTCAGGAAGCTGAAGAGCCACACACAAAAATTATCCGACAAGCCCTAGCATTGAAGTTTGGCTAGCAAACCATCATGCCACATACGGTCAAAGGTCTTAGAAATATCAAGCGCAACAGCGTTTGACTCTCCATGTTTCTTTATTTCGTTATTTCGTCTACTTCGTCTACTTCATCGAACCCCCCAGCACACAATTTTTATGTTGACCGAATTAATCGACCATCGTTCCAGCTTACTACAGTTCAAAGAAGACTCATAAAAACGGACAAAACTTTTGAAACAACCTCAGATTTGTAAGCCTAATCTATTTTTATACACAAATATTCAGTACTTACGTTCACAAGAACTCACAGAAGTTACTTCTATTCCCTCAACATGCCATTTTCCGGACTCACAAGTGAACCTCATTTGGGTTTGCCCATTCGGAAACTGATAATCTGGCAAACAATCAGCACGGCATCCACTAATCGACGAACATCTCACGCCAGCATTGTTAGGATAAGGTGGTTGAGAACTGCAACCTGAAAAGAAAATGGAAATTGTTTTATGAGAACAGAAATCCAATCGAACTAACTCTCCTGATCACATGGACGAAGTGAACCAAAAGATAGAACTGGAATCTTAGCTTAGCTTAGCTTAGCTTAGCTTAGCTTAGAATGGATACAACAAAAATATTACTCTCACACACCAAAACTTCAGCACTCTTCAGGTGTTGGTGAAAGGCGCTTCGAGAAGAGTATTGCAGTTCTGATGTTTTCTGAACAATGCTTGTTTGGGATTTATTTTACGCCAGAGGTTTCAGTTCTACCACAGATTTGGTATTATCTTGAAGTAGCAAAAGTTTCTTAATGACATTTCAAATATCACCACGCACAATCGTATTCAGTAGTTTTACAATTTTTTCTGGATGATAACATAACAACAATATCATTATTGAGGCATATTTGAAATGAATCAGATTAAAAAAATTCATCCGATGGCATCTTCAATGGCCTCAAAAAGATTTTAGAAAATGGTGCATTAAATGCAGCATTAAAAAGGCAACTATAGCTATTGTTAGGCTTTCGTGATCATAGTCTACTGTATACGATGGAATTGGCCAATACTTAATGAAAGTGTGTTTTGAATACTAACGTATTCAAAACACACTTTATTGTGAGATTTTCACCAAACAGTTTTACAAAAACGCAACACGTGTTTCGCCATACAATGGCTTCTTCGGGCGTGTCTTTACTAAACACACTAAAGACACGTAAAGACATGCCTGATGCAACACGTGTTTCGCCATGCAATGGCTTCTTGGGACGGATCTTTACTAAAGACACACTAAAGGCACACCCGAAGAAGTCATTGTATAGCGAAACACGTGTTGCGATTTTATAAAACTGTTCAATGAAAATCTCACGATAAAGTGTTTTTGAATGTTTGTTTGAAGGTGGTTAACAAAGGAAGGTTTCGAAAAGGAACTGGGCATCATCAAAATGACCTTCAATGGAATGGTTACTCCAAAGTGATGGTAGAACAGGCTCTAGCTAGAAGACAGCAAGAGCTCCAAAAGGAAGAGAAGCTGCCACAATCAGTACTTGTACTTCCCTACATCAGAGGATTGTCGATGTAGGGAACCTGTTTCAGATTAGAACCTGTTTCAGATCTGGGAACACTATCCGTAGCAGCCTCACGAAAACCAGGCCACCAAACGCAGACTGCAATTTCAAGAATTGCATTTACCGGATATCCTGCAAGTGCGGAGAATCATACATCGGTGAAACTAAAAGGCCATTGAAATTTCGCATTGCCGAGCTCAAGAAAGAAACACATCGAGGAGAAACCAGCAAATCAGGAGTGGCAAAGCATGTTTGGACTCATTAGCATAACATCAAGTGGGCTAAAGCTGAAATCATCTACAAGGAAGAACACTGGTTTAGGAGAAAATTCAAAGAAGCCGCAAATATGTTGTCCAACAACGCATTTAACCAAGTTAGCGCAACATATGAGAACCTCTAATCAAGCGGAACACGACCAACTCCCGCCAAACGCTAAAAACCGATGAAGTGTGGAGAGGAAAGATGGGATAGGTGAAAGCACTAGAATGTCCTATAAATAGGACAGATTTAAGCGGAATAAGTCCAGTTATCATCCAAAGATGATTGTGGATACTAACAATCGAAACTTCATGAAGTAACTTGGTTTGGAATCTTTTAATTTTCAATTTTTATTTCTTGTTAATAATTTTTTAATGTTCATCTCGTGTTAAAAGTTCAATTTTTGTTTGTTTTTTGGTTGTTACTGGTATTTTATTTCATTGTAATTTCAGCTTCTTTTTACTCAATATAATTATTATTTTTCAGATAATCTTTTCCGAACGAAACTTATTTTATTCTTTTGGGAACATATCATTATAGAACAATTCAATAAAAGTATTTTCGAAGTTATTTTGTTCAATTTCAAAGACGTATATTTTTAGGAGAAATTTATAGAAAGGTTTTGGCTTTCCATTTCTCCATCTTTATACAAAAAAATGTGGGAATCTTCCAAAGAACCGAAGAAAGCAATTAATTTCGAGCGGCCATTTTCTTCGAATTGGGTCTGAAAGTTACTTCTTTGTATGATCTACACATTTTTGTATAGAGTTTTTTTTTGGAACTCATTGATTTCTTCCTTTTTTCGAAATATTTTCACATTTTTTATTGAAGTTGGAGAAGTAGAAAGTGAAAAATTTGTTTTCTCAAAATTTTTTTTAATATCATTTTTATCTACACTTTCAGTTTGTATATCCTGTAAGTTGTGAATTGGACTGCAGTCAACTCATAACTATCCCAAAACGACAATTACGATGGAACCTGTTCAAATGAAAGAAACCTTGCAAAATTCCATGTAGCTTTCTGGGTATGATCTAGTTTTTTTCAGTAATAAACATTGCTTGTGTCAATGCCAAAAAAAAAATACGGTGGCACATGAGTTCACCTTAAAAAAAAAGAAAAATTGAAAACATTAGATTTGAAAAATTTTTCAGAACCTACTGTTGGTTCATTGAAAAAAATATTTAACTTTCCTAGTCTTCTTTTCTCAACAAGTTTATTTCGCGAAATTAATTAATATTAGTTAAAGGTATAAGTCAGGCAAACGTTTCTTGAACATTTTTTCATTTGAGGCACATTGTTTTTGGTAAAAGGGAATTTTTTTCTTCCAAATTTAATTGTGAAAATAACAATTTCATATCCCTTTCCTCAAAACACTGTTGGTATGATGTGATATTGAACGCATATACTGAATTTTGAATCGTATTAATCGATTAAATTTCAGATATCTCATCTAGAGAGTTCTTATCTACAAATCCATTTCCCAAATCGAACTAAATTTTCAACTACATTACCTGAAAATTCTTTTTTTGTCGATTTCCTCCAATCGAGTTTATTTTTCCTCCAAAATCGGAGAACAAATCAATATCAGTTTCATTCAGCTCCTGATGACGCCAACTCGGTTGGTGAAAAGCGTGCCAAAATTTCAATTAGAAATTTTTGGACAAAAATATTTAAAAAATATACCTCAAAATGTTGTACTATTTCTCAAAAATCGAAAATGTTTTAATAGGAAATTGAAAATTTCTCAATTTTCCATGAAAACTGTCAATGCAATATAAACTTTCTTACACGATATCATAATGGCGTAGAGTAATTTTTGGTTAAAAGGGTCACTCTAGTGAGAGACCAGAGTCATTATTTTATGAATTCATATCGAGGTAAGTGGATTTCATGAATAATAAAACCACCAGCCTCTAATTAACCGAAGTTGAGAGAGAGAGATTGATGTCAAATTCATCTACCCATGAAATAAATTATACGGCATGCCAAAATAAATGATATCTGTTGATGGAGAACGGATTTTATAAGCTTTAGAAGAATTATTCATCTTTGCATACAAAGGTCACGTTTCCGGAAAATTTTCCTATTTTCCTGTTTAATTTTTTGTGTGACTTTTAGTTGGCTAAAATCTCAGTCATAATTACAAATTTAATTTATAAAATACAACTTTTTGCAAATTACCCCTCAACTTCTTTTTTTTATTACAACATGCTTCACCTACAACTGATGGCAAATGGCTGAAAACTCAAATTTTAAGTCGCGACTATAAAAATCATTGATTTTCAATAGGTATCATGGTCATATGGTCCCAAAAAATGTAGCAAGCTTGAGACCTAGGTTACGTTGGGTTAGGTCCAAAGTGAATGGGTTTATTCGACCTTCCACCGTAACCCGCAAGGGTTTATTGTGGCTCACACCTATTCATACTCGACCAAATAAACCCAGCTTCTCAACGAAGCCGATTTTTGTATGGTGTGTAGTCTTTCAGGTCATCATTTTCCAAACAGAGGCGACACACACTGTCTTTCGACAGTCTCTGCATATGATGATTCAAATGACAGTGACCCGTAAGAAGACCTGTTAGACATCCTAGTTCATCCCAACTGTAGTCCAACAACTGTTTGGTATCAAGCTTCGAAGGGTGAATAAACGCCTTGGAGTGAGCAAATCCTGGAAGATTCTGCCAGAAGTCCATAAAACTTCTTGCCAGCCAGGTGTTCAATCTTTGTTTGGCAAAACCTAAAGCGATTCCAATGACAGGTTCTGGTCCAATGGAGCTGCTTGCAGTACCCTTCTTTGCAAGGGCAGGTTCTGGTCCAATGAAGCTGCTTGCAGTACCCTTCTTTGCAAGGGAGTCAGCAGGCCAGTATGGCCAGGAATTCACAGCAAAGACTTATCAATCATTCATTACATTGCATTGAAAGATTCTACCTCTACACGTTTGAAATGTACTCACCACCTTTGAACCTGAAAGCGGACTTAGCAGATCCTGTGTGAAAACCAGTTCCAGCCGTTGGTGTTTGATATAAGGAAGGGCTGTATCCATAATTGCTACTGCCAGCATAATGACTTTTCGTTTTAGTTTTCGTTTTTGTATGAGAGTACGTTTTCCTGAAATAAAAAAATCGCATTATGACAAGTATACCTACAGAAGTTTACAGGATTTATTACAATGAGCTCTCATAAAAAGCATGTGAGGAATGGTTTACCGCAAGGTTCAGTCCTGGGGCCTGTGCTATTTCGAGAATATATAGATGAAGTTGACGGTTCTGTTCCTGATGCAAAATGTGTGAAATTTGTTAACGACGTAGCACGAATAAAACAGGCTTCAACCAAAGAGTATATTGCAAAATTACGTAACTGACTTGTTTTCGATTTAGAAAAACAGTAATTATACAATTCTATAATTATCAAAAATGTCTTCCCCCATTATATATTACTCGCCTTCATTGTCTAAAAGCACCAACTTTTTGGGATTGATATCGATGAAAACATAAATTTTAAAGCATATTATGTGATGGACTCACTTGGTATTTCCTCCTAATTGGTGCCCAAATTGACTCCCATACTTCTTCTTCAAAAATTGGGGAATCTGCTGACTTCTGAAAATGAAAATATAGAACAATCAGTAAGTACCCTATTTTACCAGTTAATATTGTTGAAAGCAAAGAGTGCTTCATTCGTTAATTCATCCAAATATTTTCATATTCAAGACGATGAAATGTGAGCAATAGTTTATCTAAACTGAAAGTGAAACTTCAAAAGTCATTTTTGTTTGTAGTATAAATATCTAGAATGCATACCTCTCTCAAAAGAGGAGTTTCTCAAAACAGAAAGAAAATTATTATGGATTGACTACACGCCAGAAGTTGCAGTTCTTTCTTTCTGAAAAAGAAGTTTTTTTCCAAAACTACTCAAATGAAAAAGTGCACTTTCAACTATCGGCTGTACGGTCAATAAAGAGTATTATCTTGAAGTTATGCGCCGCTTGCGAGAAGCAATACGAAAAAAACTTTCGGTATTGTGGAAAAATGATTCATGACTTTTCCATAACGCTAACGCACTTGCTTACTCGTCATTGCTTGTTCGTAATTTTCTTCGACGATTGAGGAAATAAAAAGCGAATCGCCGAGAAAACATAAGGACATACCAAAAAGTGCATATCAAAACTGTCTCGAGGATTGGAAGAAATGCTGGCACAAGTGTATTATATCTGAGGGGGACTACTTTGAAGGAGACAAAATAGAAATTGATGAACAAATAGATATTTTTTGAGAAAAATGAAAATTCACCTTATTTTTTGAACAGACAGCGTATCATGATCGTACATAAAACACAGCAGTCTGATTTGAAAGGTTTGAACAAAAAAATTTTTCAAAAGGCAAGAGACTGCATTTAGAACATTTTATATTCTTTTGTATTATTATTTTTTAAACTTATTAAAGACTGCCGATCTTCTTCGTCTTCGTGTAATTTAGATTTGTAATTTTATTGTGAAACACAGTTCAAATCCATAACTTTTCATACCTTCCGTAACTTCTAAACGAATTGTTCGGTTCGAATTATTCAAAAAGCAATTCATATGTTCCCAATCAACGTTGATCGTGGAAATATTTAGTGGAATAAGGATCAATACCATTATACGAATGTCATCATCTTTTGATTATACCTGTATTTTGTTGGAATAATTCAATCAAAAAGCGGTTATTGTAACTCAGTTATGAGAGTATGACGTCTTCCCGGACTTTTTTGTGAGTAATGGTGAGTACTAGAATAATGACTTTCCTAGGCGTACCTTTGATACTTTGGTTATTATTGTAATTTTCGTAGAAATCTCTATTTTATTCGAAAATGAAATACAGCCCGTGTAACTCGTTATAGTTGGAAAAAATTTTTATTTTCCAGAAATTGAAATGTTCAGTAGATCCCCAGATTGATAAAATGCTTTTTTTAGAGCGAAAGTTGAAATTTTGGTACAGTTGGTACACTTGTTTTTTCAATATTGGTGATTATTTTCTCCATATCGATAGAATGACGGAAAAATTGAAGGCTAGGCCACTAAAACAGAATTTTACAGCGAAAAAACTGACAGTCATGACATTCACATCAAGGCGCCATTATTCTTGAATCATACGTGACTCTTAGAATCTAGTTATCTATCATTTTCCAATCACTGTCGCTGTCCTAATCAAAATGAACCAATAGAATCAAATATTCAAATATGATTGTGACATATTAAAAATCTGCATAAAATGTATAGGTTCAATTTAATATTATGCTTATGAAAGTGACTAGATCCTAAATCTAAAAAACATTCTTCAACGAAAACATAGTTTTCATCGATGAAATTTTGAGGTCATGAGGTTTAAATTTTTATAAATTTAAAGCTCTCACATCCCGAACACCGGATGGAGCGGGAAGAAAATATACAAAGAAGTGTTGACTGATTATTGAGGAATTAAACATTTAAATTTCAAAAGGGTTACGTTTTTGATTTATTTCGATAACACACATTACAGGTTAACACAAATGGACAGGGCCCTTGCACAATTGGGATTAATTTTTAAGTAGTTTTCATCATCTATCCAAACACGTAAGGAAACAAGAATAAAATAGCAGACGCGTTATATCATTTACTAGTCATTTCACAACTGAAGATCATTTGTAATAACAATTTCATAATTTCATAATTTTAATGAAATTTCAATGAAATGAATACGATATTCATGAGTTCTGATCAAATCAGAAAAGTAGTAATAGTTCATATATTCCTTGAGTAAAGTATATTGATGCATATTGAATCCTTGGCTTAAAGCCGTAACACTTTGATACAAAAGCATCCTTATTTCAGAGGAGCATCCGAAATGAGTACTGAAAATGGATCTTCAATATGAACGCACTGTAAAGGTTAGTTTAGTAACATTGATGATCAGTTAGTGGAGCCGAAATATTTAGGCTACTTACTCTGATAAATGATAACTTAAAAACTGTAATATTACTAGGGACCACAACAGAAAATGTGTCCCCATTGCGACCAACACTTTGTGAGACTCAAAGCCAACTGATTCAAACCTGAAATAATGATTATAAAGTCGTTTAAAAAATAACCCCTTATCTCAATGGTTACGAGTGCAAGAACATTATTCAAGATAAATTGTTTTCAGCTAAACGGATGCAGATATGTACCTACTGGAAATGAAATTAGAATTTTGCTACATGGAATTGTTGATAATATTATTATCAAAGCATATATCTAATTAGGCCCCGGTATAATATAATGATTTTAATGAACAGTTTGTCACATTTTGGTTCCCAATGTCTTTATGTTTCCATGCCTCTGAACGAGAACAAAATGATGATATTCTTCCTTTCCGAATATTGTTGTTTTGTCTTGTGTTATGAAAAAGTTACGAATATTACGATTATTGAAGGAATTATTATTAATTATTAAGCTGGCCAGGCAGTGAACACTAACCTATGATACATTATTATTATTATCGTCACCGATTGGGAAATGTTGAATCGAGATATTGCCGGGCATTACCTTGGTAATGTGGTGGTGCTCCATATGGAGCACCACCACAGGATATCCTGCTGAAGCCATATCGTATTCACTGGAACTTGAGGGTTTCCTGAATCAGGATATATATTTGCTAAACTTGGAATGACATCATTTTGAAGTAGTGCCAAATAATTATTACTGAGGGTATTGCGTGTGTTCTTTTCTCATCCAGTGAGGATTTTCCGTTGACCAGTAACGGTAATTTTGCCGATTAGCGTGACCGTTAAGAGACAAAGTACACTCATCAGAAAACATAACGTCTTCTAATTGGATGATATTGTTATCCAACATGTCCATCAATTTCTCACAAAAATAAGATCTTCTATCAAAATCGTCTTCCATGAGCTCCTGAGAAGGTATCTTTTTATAGGGATGCATTTTATTTTCTTTTAATATGTTTACTATCGATGTATGACTAACATTGAATGTAGTGGATGCCTGTCTACTTGATGTATGTGGGTTTTCCTCAAACTCAAGCATCACATCTAATTTGAGTTTATCACTCATTGTCAGACTTGAAGTTGACGAATTTTAAACTTAAATTAAAATACTGACAACTTATGTTGTAAGAAACAAAACAAGTTGACCAAGCGTTTCAAATTAACGTTGCCACGGAAATTATTTACAGTTTTTCATCTAAAAAGAATATTGCTATGGTTTTTGCTTACTTTCTCATTATCAATACCTCAAGATGAAATAAGTTTTGAGTATATTGCAAAAAGTTTTGAGTGTATTTTATCAAATTTTGGTAACCATATGATTTTAATTAATTTTATCGTAATTGTTGCAATAACATTTTTGAATAGAGAATGAAGTGACCTTTCAAACGATATATCACGATCCTATACTTCCCATTTAAAAAATTGGGGGTTATACCTGTCTTTAGACGAGGGGTTGAAGGTAGGGGTAGCATTTTTCCGTTGAAGTATATCAATTTAAATTTGACGTGTTTCGGGATTTTGTTAAAATATGTACCTTAACCGAAATAATGAATTTATTCCATTTGGCTTTTACATACTGTATACAAAAAAACCTATACTTTTTTCTTTAATTGTCTATATGGACATTTCCTTTCAACTGACTATCGACATGTATTCCTAAGTATTTGACACTGTCGGTAGATTCTATTTTAATGGCGTTGTTTGCATTAGGAAAGCTGATTTCATCGAAAATTGATAGATTTTTCTTGTATGAGGGGAGAGCCATGAAAATATTTTTTTCAACATTCATTATTAGTTAGATTCGGTTAAACACTATACAGTAGAATTCAAATATAACGACTCCGCTTATAACGACTATCCGTTTACTCAAGTTTAGTTTCATATTTAGTTATTGAGAAAATATACCGTTTAGTGCGACTCCGGTTTAAGCGACCAACCGCTTATTATAGCGACCGTTTTTCATGATACTACATCCGGTTAAAACGTCGCGCAATGTTTTGTTTACACAATCTGCGCACCAATATCTCGGCGCACTCCCTCTTCTTAGATACGTCTATTGATAGGTACTACTAACAGATATTAATAGATTGATTTTACCCCAGAGGTAACCAATTCACCCAGAAAAGGTGGATAGAGGAGACTAAAAAACTAGATTACCGAGATGGAATGGCTTTCTGGAACAAATTCAAAGTCCTGACAGGACAAAAACGGAAAACCGACAGTCACCTGGTGATTGACGGTAACATCATTTCCACTCCTCCCGACAAAGCCGAAGCCTTCCGTGAAAATCTCGAAAAAACCTTCCGTCTTCCCAAAGACCCACAATTCGATAACCATTTTCTTAACTTCATTCACCAGCAGGTACCAGTGCAGTTGGGCAGGCACCCAGGTCAAATCCCCCTCGACGCCAACTGTCCCTTAAGATCCCCATTCAGCGAGGAAGACATCCTCAACTATATCCACAGTGGTAGAAATACCGCTCCTGGACCAGACTCGGTTAACCGCCGTGTTCTGAAAAACCTCCCCGCCTCAGCAATCCCATTCATTAAACACATTCTAGATGCGTGTCTCGCACACGCCTACTTTCCAAACGCCTGGAAACAGGCTAACACAATTCTAATCCCTAAACCCCACAAGGATCCTACTAACCCCGACTCCTACAGACCCATCAGCTTGCTTAGCTGCCTTGAAAAACTGCTGGAACGATTGATCACTAACCGTTTGAACGACTTCCTAACACTCCACAACATTATTCCTCCCTATCAACATGGTTTCGGGGCCGAACATTCTACCCAGAACGCACTAGTCGAACTTCATACCCACATATCCCAAAATATCAACGCTTCTTTTTGCACCATTGCAATCTCCCTAGATATCCAAAAGGCTTTCGACAGGGTCTGGCACGCGGGCCTGATCTGGAAGCTTATCCAAATCAATCTGCCTCATCACTTTATCCGACTAGTAGCTTCCTATTTATCCAACCGACTTATCCGCGTCAAAGTCGGTGAAGCTTTATCCACCCCTTTTTCTCCTAAAGCCGGAGTCCCCCAGGGATCAGTCCTCGCCCCTTCCCTATTCCTCATCTATGCACATGATGTTCCCATAACCCACAAAATCCTCCAATACGCCGACGACACCATTCTATACTCCTCCGCCCCCAACACCCGCCGCTTGCAAATTGAAGCCCAAAATATGATCGACCATTTCGAGCAGTGGTGCAACAAATGGCGTATCAAAATCAACCCCACTAAAACCCAAACAATCCTCTTCCGACACCCTAACACATCTACCCGTCCAAAACTAAACCCGGACAACTTAAATCTCAGACTTTTAGGGGAAAACCTCATACTCCAGGACTCGGTTTCCTACTTGGGGGTCACCTTCACGAGGACCCTCAACTGGGAAATCGACCTGAGAGAGACTCTGGACAAAGTCCGGAAGAGAGCTAACCTTCTGAAGGCTCTGAGAGGAAAACTTGGGGGATGCGACAGTAGGACACTGCTTCATACCTATAATACCTATATAAGACCAGTCCTCGACTACAAAGCAGTGATATACTGTACGCTTCCTCCGAGACTGTCCCACCGCATCCTTACGACTGAACGACGAATACTACGCAACATACACAACCTGCACTATCGATACCCTTCCCTACACTTATATAACCTTATAAATACTACACCTATCAACCAAAGATTTCAGGAACTCCGAGGACGATATGCGACCAGGACGATGAGCAGCAACAACACCGATGCCATCGACACGCTCACATCGCCATGGATCCCCCGTGGAGGATCCCGAAGGAAACCTAGGAAAAAGCTCCCCTTTCCCCCAGCCAGACTCCTGGGAGCGATGGAAGACCCTCCGGAGCCAATCCAAGACATCCTAGAGGATTTCCCACTGGGATACAGATAGCGGACACCTGACAGCAGCGCCCCGGATAGTACCGAAATCCTAAACACACAAAACCCCGGCCCAAAACCCCGTACCAAGTCACATCTGGACCACCGACCACCGCAACGAACCCGGACTACCACACGGATCAGCATAAGACCAACTAAGAAAACTGGAACACCAAAACAACACAACACAAACTCCAACATAAAACACAAAACACACACATAACTCACTCACCCTGAAGAGGCATAAGCCTATAGCAGGGCCCTACACAAACACATACACTCACAAAAATTGTAACAAACTGTAAATTTGTAAATATACGATTTTCATTCATTCACCCCAGAGGTTCCAGTATGAATTCTTTGTCACTTGTTGTAAATCCATAAAGTTCGACCAAATGAATTCTGTGAAGCGAAAGTGTTTTGCAATTGGAGAAATATTACACCGATTAGAAGCCGGTGAATCAAATGCAGCCTCGCAAAGGAATTAGGCGTATCCCATTCTACAATATTCACAATTAAAAAGAATAAAGATAAGATCGAGTCGCTGTTCAATGCCAACATTTTGAAATGCAAACGTGTAAGGACTCCTACTCATGAGCAGTTGGATAAGGCATTGTTACAGTGGTTTAAGCTTCAGCGCGACCGGAGAATACCCCTTATTGGACCTCTGCTACAAGAGCACATCCCCATATAACAGACTTGAAAAGCATAACGCTGGTGTTTTTGCCTCCAAATACGACATCAGTGTTGCAACCCATGGACTAGGGGATTATTCGAACTTTAAAATCACAGTTTCGTAAAAACGCTACCGACGCGAATAGCAAAGATAATGACGGTGATGATGCCGCACCAGAGGAGATTTATAATGCTGTACGAAATTCTTACTACTGAACAGAAGTTTGTCAAAACCAAACTCAAATAAGAGACTTTTACGTTAGTAACACAGTTTTTTCGTGCAATGCGTGTGTATTTTATCTCTTTGTATTACATTACATATGTTTGTACAGTAGGATATTTAAGAACTATTAATATAAAGCATATGTGATTCCTATAAAATGTTTTATTCACCTATCGATCAGCAATCCGAACATCTAAATGAAAGACTAATGAACTAATGTACACTTTACTACCACAAAATTAATCCGTCTTGTGCGTCGTCCGGTTAG